AGTGTCCCAATACATGTTCCATCATTCACTTTTAAAGTATTTGGCCAGTGCCGCTGAGCCAGCTACCAACAATAAGCAAGTATGGTTTTGGAGCTAATTAATCTTCATTCCCACGTCTTACTGCCCTCATCGCCCACTTTAAACGGATATATATTAGTAGAATCAAAGCAGCATTAAGCAATAGAGAATGATTACAGAAAGGAGCCTCACACGAAATGCATGCTTCAATGTAGGATCAAAGAGGAAAAATGGAGTGTGAGATGCGCCAGAAGACTTGGACAGTGAAAAATAAATACATGTGCATACACATGGTTGCATGTGGAGGAGACATGAAAGCTGTGACAGTCAATGACTTTGACTTGAACCCTCTTATCTCTAAAGTGAACTTGCTACTTCTAACGTTGTTTGTTGATAAGCTTCAAGGAAGAAACAAGTGGAAGAAAAAGGGTTATCTATTACACTTTGTTCAGAATTTTACTCCAATTACAAACACTGCTAATCATACAGACAGAAGAAATTAGATCTTTGAATTTCGTTTTTAACGTGTCAATGAGAAAAAGTGAAATCACTTTTAAATCAGATGGATATATAGTGGAAAATAATGTGCACAGCTTTTCCTCTTTTGTATACGGCCAGATTCTTCAACCGTGTTATTTGGTGCAAGCTTTTTTCAGTGGAGTCAGCAAGTGATGCAAAATGAATAATGGAAAAAGCACTAGAGAGTAGAATTTTTATAGTGCTTTTATATCAACCATATGTAGGGGAATGATGAAAAGATGAACACGCCTCTTCCAGTGCATAGATATGGCAAGATCGAGTGAGTGGTCACCTTCTTCTCTTTCTCTTTTGTAATTCATTGGTTGGTGATCGGAGACTCTTGCTGCATGCCGAGTAGTGGAGAAACAGAAAGGGAGGCTAATCCGATTGTAAAAACAACTCCTTTTAAACTTTTTCTTTTAGTACGGGCTAGGGTACAAAATATACATCACATTTGTTCATTATCAATAACAAATGGTTGACAATAGAATTTGATTCTATGATGGTTTTATCTCGAGTGTGTAATTTGAATCAAAGATTGTGAAGCAAATAAAAATTTTCAACAAAATTAACAAATTAAAAACGATCATAAAGAGAATTGTTATATATATATATATATATATATATATATATATATATATATATATTCTTAACAAATCAATATCTTTTACAAATTCTTTAGTAAAAAATAGATGTTGATAAGGGAGTTTTGTTACGGCTTAGTTGATTGATTGTAAGTTAAGGTACGGCATGATGTAATTGAATGTTTGCTTATCTCAAATAACAAAACATATCAACTTGTTTGTATTAATAAATTTTAATTTGATTTTGAGAAATATAAACAAATTTCAAAAAGACTTTGGACTCTTGAGCGATTAACATGTGAAACAGCAGCAGTGACATATACTAATTGACTGATCATGACAATTCCTAAAAGCATCAACATCCTTGATTTGATATCGATACAAGGAATGCAACGATGATCTACTCTGACTTGTCTACTTTCATCGCTTCATTCTCACGCCCTACATTTTTCACGTTCCTTAATGCCATTTTAAATTCGTAAATTGAGTGCAAATTAAAGGATGATTATGTTAATATTTAATGATCCTAAGTTTCATGATTCCATCCAAAAAGATAAAACAAAGTAATATACTTTAGTGGGAAGGAAAGAGGAAAAAAAAAATGTTACAAACAGTTTTAAACTATTCCATGTAGGGTTTAGGGTTTTGAGCAATTAAAAGCTTGTTAAGTAGGCATTGGGAGGTTAGTATAAGTCATATATATAGGGAAGGGAACAAAATTGCTGATTTTATGGTTAATATAGGATTTGAGTTAAATTCTGATGTTATTTTGTATGACTCTCCACTAAAAAAAAGTGTCTTATCTACTCCTAAATGATATGATGGGAGTCTACACTCCACGTTTGATTAATTAATAAATTTCACTTTCAAAAAAAATTATTATTCATTTAATTTTATAAAGTATCTTAATTTTCTTTAATCGAGTTAGATAATACAAAATATCTGTTATAATATATTTTAATTTTTTAATCAAATTGAATAATACAGGATAAATCCATTAGCATACCTCAATTTGATAAGCAATAATGTTTGATAAGACTAGAGTTTACAACAATGGATTTTAAAGTTCCAAAAACGTAGTGCAGACTGAATGGCCTAGAACATTTCGCACCAGCAACAGCCAACAAGGCCTCCACCTTTCAAGGGGTAATTATATCCTGATTAGTTATTAATCTTTAGGCTTCCTTCATGTCAGAATTTGGAACAATGGATGGTTCTAATCTTCTTGGTTTGATGGATTTGAAGTACGTGAACAAATTACTACTTCCAGACTTTATTAATCTTTCTTACTTGGCAATAGAATTTTTTTTAACACGTAGGGGTAGAAAACAAAAGAAATTAATAACACTGTATAAGACTAGATGAGTTACGTATATGGAAAGGGGCTTACATGAGTCCTAACTCCTATTTAAGGTCCTCCACCCTGTCCCTCTATGGTTTTATGATCAAGTTTGTTAGCATCTAGTTTTCTATTTAAACAATTAAATTATGATTGTGTTATTAATTGGGATGAATGTGATATTTGATTTACCATGTCTTCGATTTACACGATATATGTAAGTGAAACCAACCATGAAAACATCAATACATATAAAATCGAAGCATAATATGTTGGCAGTGCGACAATAATTACTTATTCATGCATATATATGTCAATATAAATTTTCTTAATTATTTTCACCAGGCTTGCTTAAAATTAGATTTAAGCTAGGTTTTTTACTAGCTTAAAGCAGCAATAGGGATAGGAACATGTGAAAATAATAATCGAAATCATAATCAATTATTTTTATGGTTTCTTTTTTTTTAAATTAAAAAAATAATTCGAATATTTTTTAAATAATAAATTAAATATTAATTAAAAAAAGGGAAATTGTTGCACGACTTCCATGCAAAATATAAAAAATACAATGAAAATAACCATAATAAATATTGTATTCATTAATATATATATATTTCTGTATCACATACACCTCGCCCGTGTCCTCATATTTCATCTCATCAGACGAAAATAACCCACGTCTTAAATTAATACCGTTCTGGGAATAACGATTTGTTGCTTTGTTTGAATTTTGCAGAGTCGATGACTTGTCGTCCGCAGCATTGCCTTTTTGGGACATTGATATGGCAATGGCAATGAGAAGGAACCTTCGTAATTTTACAGATACATACCACGATTTAGGCAATGAATGTTCAAACTGATGGTATGATCCACCAGACCAGACCAAGGCCGACATGAACATGGCAAAAAGCATAGTGTAAGATTTGTCTATAACACAATATTGACCAATCGAAAAATCAGATATAACAGAAAATATAAGTTTGGTAGCAGTTTCATTAATTTATGGCAAGATATTATAGCTGAAAAATGAAAGTGTTGTACGTAAGCAGATGAAACCAGTCATACTCGTAAATTGCAAAAAATGGAAAGCTATTAGCCCGAAACTCGAGAGGAATATTGTTTTGACCGGAATGTCCTTCGTCCTTGCTTTGGCTTTCAACGAGAAAACTCATTCCAAATTCAACGTTTTACTGCATCCGCCAGACACAGGAACTCGCTTAGCCTAAGCTAGTTTATCGATCCCTTATGTAAATAGCCTAACTTCTTTAAGCTTTTGACAAAAGGGCAAAAGGGAGAAGATGATATAATTCATAGGGTTTGAAACTATGTAAGAAAAATTCAAAAGTAAAAACAAGAGACCAGAATATTTCAATTTTCAAATATATCAAGCACTCATGCAAGAATGGAATGGACAATCCATCCGTTTGCTGTTAGGAGGGCACCGGCTTATTCCAAATTGTCTGGAGAAAAAATGGAAAATTGGGGAATTCACACATTCTGTCTGCCTGCTTAGATATGCTGCTGTTGTAGCTCATTTTCATGTCAAACAGATAGATTTGCATAAGGTGACCCGACTTTATTTTGTTGAATTCAAATATATTTGCACAAGAGGAGGGGACATAACTAATTATCTTTATAGATAATAGTAGGGTATAATATTTAAAATTTTTTTTGAAATATTTAAATTTTTTAAATAAATATTTGATCTTTTATTAAGTTCAAATCAAGTTTTTATTTTTTTATTACAAATTAAATAATTTTTTATATCATAATAAATAATATTATGAAATATAAACATGACATGACAACATGATTATATATATATAATTTTTCACTTTTTATATCAATATCATATTAATATTATATTAATACCACGTAGATATAAAATAACAAATAAAATTTTAATTTATTACAATTAATCAACTAGTAATTATAAAAATTTAAAAATAAAATTAAATAAACTTAATTTAATGTAATAAAAAAATAAAAATTTATTTAAAAACTTTTAAATAGTTCATATTTTTTTCAAGTATTATTTTTAATATTAATATAATTTTTTACTGGAAATAAAATTTAAAATCAATTTTTCATTTAGAAATATTATATATATATAACTAAATCAAACATTCGAAAAATCAGAATTTACATTCAACTTTAAAGGTTGTAGTTAGATAATAAAAAAACTAGGTTGCATTTCATGGCTTCCTTGCCTTATAACCCGTACACGGTAGTACACTAGGATTTCTGTTGAAGTCAAACCCCAAAACACAAAATGAAAAAACTTGTCAGCCAAACAAACGTAAAGGCCAAAATCAAGGGTCCTTTCAGTCAATTCAACTCCCATAAAAAGGTTACCGCCCTTTCCCATTGATCGCGGACTTTTCTTGAAACCCCGTAGTGCTCAAGCGCGAAAACAGAAAGGGTCAATCTTTGTCCATCTTATATTACGATATTGCCATTGGGACACCAAAAGCTTCTTCATGTAATTATAAAGTAAGGTGTGGGTATTTGTTGGAAATGGTTGTCTATAAATACTACGATTGATCTGCTCAAATCCTACTTGGTCATTGCTTGGCTGTTTGAGTTCTCTGTCTTTTGGCAACTTTCTCTTCATTGACTTTTCTTTGCTCTCTCTTTATCTTTTCCTGTTCTGTCTCTCCATGCAGATCGGCATCAGCTTGACTCTTCCCGCTCAAAACTTGCACGTCTACCAGGCCAGACGGGCAAGCTTTAAGTGCCAGAAATCACCTCTAAACCCTTTAACAAAACCCCATCCGTGTTCTCAAAAACCTTGTTCATCGGCATCATCGACTGAGTTGACTCGGCAACACCTTTCCAACCTCGACAAACTTCTCCAGAAAACAAACCAAGCCGACCCAGAACAAGTTATCAAAGCCCCAAGTAATGGATCAATCGAAACCAAAGGTAAGGGTTTACTCGAGGGGCTTAATCTTTCCAGGATTTGGCCTGAAATGAAAGCTGCCGAAGAGATGTCTCCACGTCATTTAAACAGGCTTCAAAGGCTTTTATCAAAAACCATGGAATATTCTCCAAGGAACAACCTTGGCTCTCGCTGGAGAGAGTACCACGGTTGCAATGATTGGTCAGGTTTGCTTGACCCGCTCGATGAAAATCTAAGGCGTGAAGTTGTTAGATATGGGGAATTTGTTCAAGCTGCTTACCATGGTTTCCATTCCAACCCTGCTATGTCAACCGACGAGGCTCCTTTACCACGGCACGTGGCGTTGCCTGATAGGTCTTACAAGGTAACCAAGAGTCTATACGCCACATCGTCCGTCGCGTTACCGGAATGGGTAGACGACGTGGCTCCCAACCTGGGGTGGATGACCCAACGGTCTAGTTGGATCGGCTTCGTAGCGGTTTGTGATGATAAGAGGGAGATTCAGCGCATGGGAAGGAGGGATATCGTTATCGCTTTACGTGGAACCGCCACTTGCTTGGAATGGGCTGAAAACTTTAGAGCCCAGCTCGTTCAAATTCCTGAATCCCATGACCCAACCCAAAAGGTTGAATGTGGATTCTTGAGCTTGCACAAGACAGCCGGTGCTCACGTGCCTAGCTTGGCTGAATCAGTGGTCGAGGAAGTGCAAAGATTGATTGAGGTGTACCAGGGTGAGACCCTCAGCATTACAATCACGGGGCATAGCCTTGGTGCCGCACTTTCTCTTTTAGTTGCTGACGAATTGAGTTCATGCGCTCCCCAAGTGCCCCCGATCGCAGTATTTTCCTTCGGAGGGCCTCGAGTTGGTAACAAAGGCTTTGTAGATCGGCTTAATGAGAAAAATGTCAAGGTGTTACGAATTGTGAACAATCAAGACGTGATCACCAGGGTTCCGGGCGTGTTCATTGGCGAAGGATCACAACAACAACAAAGAAATGAAGGTTTTTCAAGAGTGTTCAACATGCTAGATAACAACAACCCATGGGCGTACTCCCATGTCGGAACAGAACTACGGGTCGATACTAAGATGTCGCCCTATCTAAAACCCAATGCAGACGTGGCGTGTTGTCACGATTTGGAGGCTTACCTGCACTTGGTGGATGGATTCTTGTCATCCAACTGCCCGTTTAGAGCAAATGCCAAGAGGAGTTTAGCGAGGCTGGTTCATGATCAAAGGTCAAACGTGAAACGATTGTATACTCACAAGGCCTTGAGTTTGAATCTTGAAAGGGATGGCTTAAGCTTCCCTATGCCTAGTTGTTTGCCTAGCCCTTCTGGATAAGCTAAGCATATAAATAGAGAAAAAAAAAAACAAGTAAAGAAAGAAAACTGGAAAAAGCTTGCACATACTTAAAATAAGCTGCCCATATGCTATGTTTCTTTGATTTTTATTTCTTTAAATATCAAAGTTCATAGTTCCAAAGGTAGAAACTTGTCATGCCTAGGATATTTGTATAACCTCAAACAAATGAAAATTGGTATATTTTTTAAGTCAAAAAGCATCTTCCCAATGACCAAGAAAATGCCAACACTACAAAACCAAAGATATTTTTTGACAGTATAAATTTCGTCATGTATCTTTATTGGAATATTTTGTTGCAAATTTATCGAGAAGAAGTTATTTTTTATTAAAATTTTGTTTATATTAGTGTAATAATTAGTAAAATTGAATCAATGGTGGCTCATTTATTTTAAGAATGAAACATTTAACCTAAAAAATACAGTCATGTATTTTCAATTTGTGCTCACAATATGAAGTCAATGCTCAGCCTGCTGCGCTGCAAAGAGTACAGTTTCATATGATTTGCCTTCTTCTTTTAATCTGTGCTTAGGCATGTGAGTCTGAGATTTTGCTTAAAATAATGGTTGTGGATTAAAATTAATGTCTTTTTATTGATTATCTAATTAACAAAGAGCCCCATTTCCCTTGTAAAGAAAATTGGTTAACTAACTTCACAAATCACAAAGATTGTGTACAAAACTAGCCAATTTTGTTGTGAGCAGATTTATTTATCTTCTCATGACTATATATACAGCAAAAATAAAGTAAGTCCATTTTCTCACAATTAAAGTAACATGAACATGTAAAAGAATAAATTCACCAAGTAAAGCTTATACACTCTACTAATTATTTATTAAAGGTTTTTTTTTAATTGAAGAATGAGGTAAGTAAGTTTGATACTTAAATGTAATCATAAAAAATTGTCAATTGATTTTAAATTAAATATTCATTTACAATTTAATAGATATCTATTGACAAATCTTACGAAACCATTCATTTTCACTACCCACCAAAAAATGTTTGCAGTTGGGAATCCAACCATGATCATTGGAATGAAGGTTTGGGCAAATTACAAAACCCTAGTCATGCAAATAATCTTAAGGTTGGAAAAAGTTTCGTATATATTTTTTGTTTTTTCTTTGAATATGGTAATTGAGAGAAGTTTTAATTGTACTTTAACTGTTTGTGATTACTTTTCAATATTATTTATAGAATTTGAAATCTCAAATGTGCTCAAGTCATAGTCTTAGCAAATCCTTCCCGCTAATTGTTGATTAATTCATTTGAAATCAGATTTCTCTTCATCATCATGTTCTTGTCAATGCCTTTCTTTCTCTTTTATCCAGATTTGATTATAAAGTTTTTCCATATTTCATTTTATTTTTCCATTGTGTGACACAATCTTATTCTAGCTAGTTAGATAAATGAGTTGATTTATTCATCATAAATTTAAAACCCAAAAAGGGTTTCAGATGAAGGTTGTTGAATAAGTACAGTTTGGACTTTGAAGTATTAGGAGATGACGATATGGGGATTGGAGGAAATGAGCAAAGGTTACCTATCCCCTTCTTGGAGTCTAAGTAAAGGATACAATATTCAAAATGTGGTTGGAATCAAATGAAACCATTTCTTTTTCTTAAAAAAATTGTAAAAAAAAAAATACTGATATAATATAAGCAAAATTATTATATTTTTCAATATCATCTTACACGACCGGTTAATTTTTTTTCTTTTTTTTTTTCGATTTCGATTTAAAGAAAACTTGTTTTGGTAATAGAATTGTTAGAATGAACCAAAAATTTATGAAAAGTTGAATGCAAGGTCCAAGTATTGATTAGAAAAGTTATTACTAAATATTTTTCAAAGCATAAGAAAAGTTATAAATTGTAGCCCAAGGGGCAAGCCAAGCATATCTAATTGTCAATGGCATTTCTTTGTTGTTACACGCTTACAGCTAGCAAACAAACCTGTCATATACTTTTGAATTTGTCACAAGTCTTAATCCCTTAGAAAATTAGAAAAAAAATAAGACTTTACCTCTTCTTCGACTTAAACTAGGACAAACATTGGTAGTTGCTTTCAATCCAGCCAACGACCATTAATGTAACTACTCCTGAACGTAAAACATTTGTTTTTAACAAAAATTCTTTTATATGATGTTAAGTAATATATATATCTCTTTCAACGAGAATAAAGGAAAATCGAGAGTTGAAATAATATCGATCACCTAATAACTTAAAAGTATCAAGATGTCAAACGATTTTTATTTTTTTATGTGAAAAGTCTAAAAAAAAAAATTTGAACTTTAAAGAAAGATAATAAATTAGAAATTATAATTTCAAAATTTGACTCGTCATTAAAATCGATAGTTTTGATATTTTTGAACTTTCAATATTTCTATTTCTCTTTTATATCTTTTATTTCTTTTCGAAGATTCTTTTTTTTTTTTTGAAAAATCTCAAATATGTATGATATGGACTTGCTAAGCCATATAATTGTTAATAATGGTTCTCATTAAATTAATAAATTATAGTTATTACAAGAAGAAAAATCTTGTAGCATAAATTATGAATTGCAAAATTATGAATGAAGTATTTATATATATATATCTTAACTATAATTGTATCATAATCTTAGTAATTTAACAAAAAATTTTATATAATTATGAAAAGAAATGTCGATAATACAATATAGAGATAAGGATAATTTTCCTATATTCCTTAATTGTTTTCCTCGAGAAAGCGTTTCCTCTATTCCTTTTAACTATTTTTCTCGAGAAAGTGTTGCTAATCACTATTTGATTTCGGATTACAAACATGACGCTCAAATAACGTCGTCTTGACTTAAGCACATTCACCTCGAAATCTAGACATAAGGTACAACGTTTAAAGCTCGAGTCCCGCTTTGATTGGCTGTCGGTGGAAGTTGCTGACGATCAATCCACACTGCATTTATTTATTTATTTATTGCTGTTAAAATGACAACAGCATCGGCCAGAACCAACTAATCCCTTTGAACTTCTTGTTGTGTCTTCTTTTTGCTTGATTGCCCCAACGACTTTGAACAAAAACGGAGGAAGATCCTCTTATCTGTTTGTATTTTCCTTTTCAATTTGTACTAAAATCAACTGTTTGAACAAACATTCTGACGGAGAAACTTGTCCGCTGTTTTGTCTTGGGCTCTTGAGCCGACAAAATAATTATTTGGACTGATTACTAGTTTGTCTTTTGAAGGCCCAATTAGAATAACTATCTCAGGCCCATCCATTAAATGGGCCCGTTGATTTGTTTCGCATCGTTTGCTTTGTCAAATTAGGGAAAGTGTTCAATTCTCCTAATATTTTATTTCTTTTTTATTTTCAATTTTTTTTATTTTTTTAGAAATTGTATTAATCAATTGAGTAAATATTTTCAATCATTATTATTTATCTTATATTGGCTTTGCCAATGATAATTTAAGTTATTTAAACAGAAAAACATATGGTATTGTATTTAATATTAAATATTCAAAAATTCAAAAATTTGATATTTAATAATTCAATGTTAAATGTGTAAAATTCTCTACACTAATTGGATTGAATGGTTTTTTGGCACAATGAAGATTGTTATAAAAGATGGAAAATTATTATTTTTTGATAAAAATATGTTTTTTCCATTTAATTATAAAAAATTTCCCCTCCTTTAAACGAGCCTTGACAGATTATTTAATTAGAGTCCCAAAAACATAGAGGGAAAAAGAAAGGAAAAGCACAAGGCTTGAAATGAACTCGCGCACACATTAACGAAACCCATAGGGTTTTTAAGATTAGGTTTAGCCTCACACTCGTCTCTCTGCCGCATTGGCTAGGGTTTTCTGAGCCCCTCCCGTATAACTCTCATAATTCACTCTCACACTCCTTTCTCTCTGTTTTCTTACCTTCCAAACACCAAACTTAGATCTTTTCCTTTTGGCTTATATTCACCTCATGGCTTTAGCCATACACTAGGGCTCTCTTGGTTGCTGTTTCTCTTTTTAAGCTAAAAAGAAAAACTAAGTTTTCGATATAATTTCTTCGTCGAGTTAACAAATGGCAACCATGAACCCTTTCGATCTCTTGGGTGGTGATATTGAAGACCCAAGTTTGCTTATTGCGGCTGCTCAGCAGCAGAAGCTTGAGAAGCCTAAGAAAGCTCCTGCTTCGGGTCCAGCTCAAGCACAGCCCGCTAAGCCTGCTAAGCTCCCCACCAAGCCTGCTCCTCCTGCACAAGCTGGTAACTTTTGTTTCTTCTTGTTTTTTGATCGGTTTTGGTTTTCTGTTTTGGTTTGAAGATAATGTCAAAAAAGGAATAAAATTTGTGGGTTTTTGATTTCGTCTATTGTTTCAGTAGTTTGTGGTGTATCTTTGTGGGGATTGATGTATAGCTGTTATTGGATTGGAAGTGAAGTAAAATAAAAGAAATTTGTATGTTTTATTAATCTTATCTGTCGGTAAAGCTGCTCCTTTGTATAAGTCTTACCTATATTTATTATTTTATAGGAATGAAATAAAAGAAAGGAAATTTGTGAAATTTATTAATATTACCTGTCATTAAAGCTGTTCTTTCGCTCAAGCCTATTGCTGTGAAGCTATATGTGTTTTGAACTTTTGATATGGCTAAGTGACTTTTGTGTAATTTTTTTTGTGGTATCATTGAAAATGAGGTAAAACATGAGAAATTTTTTAACTTTATTGATTCTATTTGTCTTTCTATGAAACTGTTTGTCAATTCCATCTATTTGTCTATGTGAAGTTTAAACTTTATTTTGAACTTCACTTAATATAATTCTTATCATTGAAAATGAGGTAAAACATGAGAAATTTTTGAACTTTATTGATTCTATTTGTCTTGCTATGAAACTGTGTATCAATTCCATCTGTTTATCTATGTGAAGTTTAAACTTTATTTTGAACTTCACTTAATATAATTCTTATGGATGATATGGTCATTGTAATATTCTGGCATTTATTGCTGAACTTTGCCCTAGATTTACCTTCTTGTTGGTTTATTGACAATCAATTTTAATTACTGAAGTGTGGTGTGCTTACTCATTTATCCTGCATTCTTTTTTCCCATGTTTGCCTTGTTATGTAGTGAGAGAGGCCAAGAGTGAGCCTGGACGTGGAGGAGGCCGTGGTGGTGGACGTGGAGGAGGCCGTGGTGGTGGACGTGGTGGCAGTGGGTTCAATCGTGATTCCAATGTTGGTGATAATTCCAATGGATTTTCGGGAGGGTACAGACCCTCTGAAGAGGGAGAAGGAAAGCTATCTGAAAGGCGTGGCTATGGTGGGCCTCGAGGTTCTTTCCGCGGGGGTCGTCGTGGTGGTTTTAGCAATGAAGAATCTGGAGAAGGGGAACGCCCTCGTAGGCAGTATGATCGCCGCAGTGGGACTGGACGTGGGTTAGTATTTTGTTTTATTTGAATTGTAATTTTTGGTCGTGCGATTTGTTTCACATAATCCCACTGTTGATGTTTTATTTCATTAACCATTTATTACATCAACTATCTATCTTTTTGTATAACCAGGAATGAGTTCAAACGTGATGGTGCTGGACGTGGTAATTGGGGATCTCCAACTGATGAAATTGCTCCGTGAGTATCTGTTTGCTAATCTCTTAAGCAGCATGCACAACAAAGCTCCTTATGTAATATGCTTTATATATGTATAGATATGTATGTATGTATATATACTGTGATGTGAACTCATCTGTTAATATATCTGCTATGTTGGCCAAAATAAGGGAGACTGAAGAAAACGTCCCTGAGAATGAAAAGAATGTGGGTGCTGAGAAGCAATCTGGAGAGGAAGATGTCGTGGATGCCAGCAAGGAGAATGCTGCAAATGAACCTGAGGAGAAGGAGCCTGAAAATAAGGTAGTTCTTTGATCACAGTTAGGTTTTTGATTTTCTAGAGATGTGGCTATGGTTTCAATTGAGGGCCAAAATGAATATATTTGGTGATTTTGTGACCCTAAGATCGTTTCTCTGTGTTTAATTAGTGTTAAGGGCATAAATAGAATGCATTATGATTGCTTGCTTGAACTCTATTAGTTGTCTATTAGAACTTTTTCTATATTGGGTAATTTGTCCAGTAACATTATGTGAGATGGTTCTAATATGTTCAAAGTGCATAGCTTCAATGTTTGAACTGTAATTATAACCCAGGCTGTTGTGGAGTTTGTCTATGCTAACTAAAAACTATTTAGCTAGGTAATAATTGTTGGATGAATCTATGTCATTGCTGAAAAATTAGAAATTTATCTTTGATGATTCTGAATGGTGGAACTGGCTTTGCTTCCTCTTTGGTTGACTGAATCAACTTTGGGATGATCAAATGATCAACATAGGTTGGATTTCCCTGGTTTAACAAGTCTTGCTTGATTTTAATATTCTAATTTTGAATGGATACTTTTTCGTCTGTCTATACTAGGAGATGACTTTAGAAGAATATGAGAAGATTCTTGAGGAGAGGAGGAAAGCTTTGCTTGCCCTCAAGACTGAAGAAAGGAAAGTTGATGTCAAAGAGTTTGAGTCCATGCAACAACTTTCAAATAAGAAGAGCAATGATGACATCTTTATCAAACTCGTAAGATTTCTTAAGGTTATTCTGTTGTTACGTATGGTTTCGTCTATTTCATTTATGCTGGTATATTGACTTAGCGTTTGATAATCAGGGTTCTGAAAAGGACAAGCGCAAAGATGCTGATAAAGAAGAAAGAGTAAAAAAGGTTTGCATATTTCTCTCACATGTTTTGTTGATTTCCCACTTCTTCTTGATGAATGCAACCCTTCCTTTCTATTTCACTTGTTGGAAGAATGGGTAAAGCAGTTATGAATTTCAGGTTGCTTGATGAATGGGTAAAGTATCCTTGTATTAACTTGTTCACCATGTCACTATTATTGGTGCCAATGATGTAGATGTTTTTCCCTTATTAAAATTCTGGTTTGAACGTTGCTTTGGTGTAGTCTGTCAGCATAAATGAGTTCTTGAAACCAGCTGAAGGGGAGAGGTACTATGGCCCAGGACGTGGACGAGGCCGTGGCCGTGGTCCCAGAGGTGGATATGGAGGTATCGCGGGTAGCAATGTGCCAGCCCCCGCAATTGAAGATCCTGGGCAGTTCCCCTCTTTGGGTGGCAAGTGAGATTCCACCACCACTGCAAGCTGCACAATGGTTTTCACTTGCTTGGAATTCATTGTGATCTATTCAATACTCAGGAGTCAAAAAAGGGTTTTCAAGAGGAATGATGATTTCCTTTATTAGAAACCATTTAATGTTTTTGAGTGTAAATTTTAGATAATTTATCCATGGGTCTACAGACTTGTGGTCTTTCCCTGACATGCATGCATACCCTTTTTTTTACCTTTTGTTTTGTTTTGTTTTTTATAAGTTAGAGCACATGGGTCATTATTACGACTGAGAAGTAGTGGCATCAGTTTTGGTTCGGTGTAGGTTGAGAACGTTTTAGTGGGTCCTTTCTGAAACATTGCAGTCATGTTATTTCATCTTTTAATCGCTATTTATTTATGATTTGATGCTTCATGAAGCTTCATGGTGGGGGTGTTTTATGTTTGCAAATAAATATCACTCAAGGCTAGATGCCATTAAGCTGCCCCACCCCTTGTTGTTAAGTGCGTTAAACCTTGTACAGGCTGCATCCGTCCAGCCATTACCCCTTTTCGCCTACCTTCGGTGGTTGAGGGATGAAGCTGCGTTCCCATGCTTCAGTCTGCAACTGTTACTGATAAATGCCTATGTTCAATGCTAATGGTTTTCTGCTTTTTAAAAAAATTATCGCCATGTATGACTGGTAAAAGTCAAGAATGAGCTTTAGTTGCCAAGAAGATGAAATTGAGGTTTAAGTTGAGTGTTAACAAGGTTACAAAGGTATAACACCTTTTCTCTCCTCTGATGTTCATTTTTTCTCTTGAATTCTTTCTTGTCGTGTAATTTTTCCCTTATACCAAACAAACCCAAAAACCAAGGGAGAGATTGGAGTATGATTTGCAGAACCGTCTCAAGCAGTCATGCTCAAGACTTTAAAGTTGGGTTGGAAAACAAAAGCAAATGAAACAGACTCAAGACTTGGGCCGAACTTCGAAGCACTCAACACATTTCCAAGCTTCAGCATTTAGAACTCAATAACTAATAATCTTCGACTCCCCCTTTTCTTACCAAGCATGGCAAATGTATCATTATCTGAAAAATACAAGGAACCAGCCCACCTTAGCTTTCCTCAAAATTTTTCCACCAACCGAACACCCTCACTCCCCTTTCTCCACTTTCACAATCCTAAACCCAAATGTCAATCCCAACCACGAAGCTGTTCCCGCCAATTTCCCTTCCCATTCGCCACATAATCCTCACTTGGTTCCCACCAGTAACATAACGAGGAAACCCCCCACCGCCCCTTCGCTTGACAAAACTCCAACGTTGGATCAACATAATCACAATTATATCATTTCTTCAAATAAGGTTATCACTAGCTATATTCGCTCAGGTGATTTAGATTCCGCTCTCCGAGTTTTCAACAACATGACTGTTAAAACGACAGTTACTTGGAACTCGATTTTGGCCGGGTATTCCAAAAACCCCGGAAAGATAACAGAAGCCCAAAAACTGTTTGATAAAATTCCTGAAAAAGACACTGTCTCTTATAATATTATGTTGGCTTGTTATGTACACAATTCTGATATGGAAACAGCTTGGTTTTTCTTTAATTCAATGCCCTTTAAGGATTCTGCTTCTTGGAATACAATGATTTCTGGTTTCGCTCAAAAGGGCGTAATGGGAAAAGCGAGGGAGTTGTTTTCGGCCATGCCCGAGAAGAATAGTGTTACTTGGAGTGCAATGATTTCTGGGTATGTTGAATGTGGGGAATTGGAATTGGCTGTGGAGTTTTTCGAGTTAGCGGATGTGAAGAGTGTGGTGGCGTGGACTGCCATGATAAGCGGGTATATGAAGTTTGGGAAGATAGAAAAAGCTGAGAGATTGTTTAAAGAAATGCCAGTCAAAAACTTGGTGACTTGGAATGCTATGATCTCCGGTTATGTGGAGAATTGTCGAGCTGAGGATGGTTTAAAGCTTTTCAGGATGATGTTAAGGTATGGTATTAGGCCGAATAATTCGAGTTTGAGTAGTGTTTTATTGGGTTGTAGTGAATTGTCTGCTTTGCAGTTTGGGAAACAAGTGCATCAGCTTGTTTGTAAATCTTTGTTACGTGATGATACAACTGCGGGTACTTCATTGCTTAGCATGTATTGTAAATGTGGAGCGTTGGATGATGCTTGGGAACTGTTTCTTGAGATAAAGAAAAAGGATGTTGTTAGTTGGAATGCAATGATTTCTGGTTATGCCCAACATGGTGCTGGTGAGAAAGCTCTACTTCTGTTTGAGGAGATGAGGGATGAAGGGGTAAGGCCAGATTGGATCACCTTTGTGGCAGTTCTTCTGGCCTGCAACCATGCAGGGCTGGTAGATATGGGGATTCGGTACTTTGATTCCATGTTGAAGGATTATGGGGTTGAAGCTAGACCAGATCACTATACATGTATGGTGGACCTGCTTGGTCGAGCTGGCAAACTGGTTGATGCTGTAAATTTGATAAAGAGAATGCCTTTCAAACCACACTGTGCCATATATGGAACCCTTTTGGGTGCTTGTAGGATCCACAAGAACTTGGAGATGGCTGAGTTTGCAGCCGAGAACTTGCTTAATCTTGATCCCAAAAATGCGGCTGGTTATGTGCAACTGGCTAACATTTATGCAGCGATGAACAAATGGGACCACGTTGCTAGGGTTCGCCAATCAATGAAAGACAATAAGGTAGTGAAGACGCCAGGGTACAGTTGGATTGAGATAAAAAGTGTAGTTCATGAATTCAGATCAGGGGATAGAGTGCACCCAGAATTAGCCTCCATACATGAAAAACTGAGAGAGCTGGAGAAGAAATTGAAGTTGGCAGGTTATGTTCCAGATCTTGAATTTGCACTGCATGATGTGGGGGAAGAGCAGAAGGCGCAGCTTCTATTACGGCATAGTGAAAAGCTGGCAATTGCCTTTGGGCTCATTAAAGTGCCCAGCGGGACACCAATCAGAGTTTTCAAGAACTTGAGAGTATGTGGGGATTGCCACCGTGCCATCAAGTACATTTCAGCAATTGTAACAAGAGAGATCATAGTAAGGGATACCGTAAGGTTTCACCATTTTAAGGATGGATCCTGCTCTTGTGGTGATTACTGGTAGGTTTGCATGGTTCCCTTGAAAGTAAGAAGGCAATATGGAAACGTTTATTCAATCCTCTGCTGGTTCAAATCACTCTGGTGGAGTTCTCAGTCTTGCCTAAGCTCTGGATCCATTTATAAGGAAATTGAGGTGTGAAATATACTCCATACTGCATTTTTATTTTTATGGTTGCAAACCTTGCTAATGGCCAGGCTCCAGGAATTTATATTTCCTGCCAAGAAAGTGCAACCGTGGAATTGTACAACTATGATTTTTGTTTGTCAAAGATTAGGTTTAAATTCTCTTGGAGATTCCTTAGGGATGTTGCCGCATAGTTCACATAGGCAATCGCCCAAAGGAAAATTCAGAGCTAATTGCATTTGCCATTACGCTATTATTTCAGCCAAACCACCCTAATACCAATTGAGAGAAACGAGGTGCTACAATTTCCACAAGACACTTCCACGGCCATGTTAAAAATAGAATAAACTACAAAACCTGATAACTCAGATGAGGAGGGCAATGTGTGGTTTAATCGTAGAAACTGAACAAGGCAAATACTATATTCCTATTTTTGTACAAATGTTTGCTTAAAATCAAATACAATTAAAAGAATAGAAGTTTAACAGAGTATTGAACAAAAGACAAGAATACCAAATCAGGCTGAACGATCTTCACATCAAAAGCATGAAATAGGACTAGTTTTACATGCAACAAATAAACACAAAAGAACATAATGTGCCCCACTAAAACTAACTTTCTTTAAGAAGAGCAGCAACCTGACTTCTGGTTGACAGGCTGTCCTCGAATCTGCACAGTTGGAGGTCTCGCATTGTTCATGGCTGGTTGGCTTGCCATCCTGCAAACAACCGTGAAGAGATAAGGATCAATAAACTCAAAATATTAGGGCCAATCCATTAAAGAAGAAGTGAATCCATCTGCTTCTTATGTATATATATGTGCCCGCATGTGCGTACATTCACCATAAAATAGGGAAAACACCAGGTAGAGTACCTATTCTTGATTGAAGCAGCCATGGCCATGAAAGCCTCTTCAACGTTAGTGGCATTCTTAGCACTTGTTTCCATGAAAGGAATCCCAATTTCATCTGCAAACGCCTGAAGAAAGAAAACAAGTCATGAGTGATGAAAATCCTAACTTTTAGGATACCTAAAGCTATATACATGTGAGCAACAAATATGTGCAATCAGTTACCTTAGCTGTCTCATAGGACACAACTTTGTTTGCTGTTAGGTCACACTTGTTCCCAACTAAAAGCTTGTTCACATTTTCACTGGCATAGCGGTCAATTTCATTTAGCCATTGCTTGACATTGTTGAAACTCTCTTGGTCTGTCACATCATAAACAACCTAGCAAGAATGTAAGCAGCATGAGTTTAATCCTGCATAAAGAAAATTAAGAAAGGAACAACACAGATAAAATGCAAAATATGGCACTTACTATGATACCATGAGCACCACGATAGTAGCTGCTAGTGATAGTCCTAAAACGTTCTTGGCCAGCAGTATCCCACTGCACATCCAGAAGCAAGCATGAAAAGCAATCAGTAATCAACAATGATCAAAACAAAAGAAAAGTCATGTAGCTTTTTAACTCTATAAAACATATCAAATAATTCCAAGAAGGGAAACAAAAAATGATTTAACTTCCAAACACAAAGAAACTGGTTATATTAACTAGAACTGTGAGAATGAACGTAACTCCGTCAACGCAGACCAGGGCATGGGGGTACCAAAATCACAGTATGCATTCCAAGTAGGTAACTTCGGATATTCCAAACTCAATTAACAAATGAAAAGATAGTACGCCAATTTAAAACTTACAATTTGGAGTTTGATGGTCTTTCCATCCTGTTCCACAGTGCGAATTTTCTGCGTATTGAAATACAATTAAAAGTTAATTTACCATTCACATGTTTAAAATAAACAAACCAATTTTATAAAAATACAAGACAGAACTTACAAAGTCAACACCAATGGTACTGATGTAACTCTCCAGATATGAATCATCCTGGTTCACCAAAAATAAAAAAAAAGTTTAGAAGCATTAAACCTAGTGAATAAAAAGATAACAAATCACAAAGCTAAGAATCCAAGAGCATCAAAATCAATGAGGGACCAAGAACTTACAGCAAACCTCAAAAGTAGACATGATTTCCCTACACCAGAATCTCCAATAAGCAAAAGCTTAAACAGATAGTCACTGTCATTAACACAAACAAACCAAATTCAGAATACAAACACAGGTCAACATTTCAACATATAAGGATACATCCAAAAAAGCTCAACAGCAACCAAGATTCAACTTTTTGCCACTAAAAGTTTTGAAGACATTTAGCTCTTGCTATGACATTAGAATATCAACAACCAATCAATACTCACCCGATTATTTCCATCCTTAAGCCTAACTTTGTTTAAAATATGTTAAATCTTTCCAAAAACTGTTACCTAACTTAAGAAATCACTTCGATAAGATTACAGTTTTTCAGCATAAATATTTTTTCTACGGCAACTTATAATGCATGGAAAATCAATAAACAGATCTGACACGCAAATTAACCGGATCTGATTCATAAAGCCGATCAATAATCAAAATAATGAAAGAAAAAACGAAATTTTAGGGAAAATCAAAAACAGTTAATTCAAAAGAAAAATAAACTAGGCAGATCCATGGAAAATGAATTAGAAACGATTGATTCATCATAAAATAAACTAAAAGAAATTTAAAAAATTAACGTTTTCTTTTTTCTGAGATTTGAAAGGAATTGGAGCTTACTATTCGGGATTCATGATGGCGACGAGTTTGAACAAACTGAATCACGAGAAGTCGGGGGAGATGACGGAAGGAACGTGAAATTGGGGTTTACGGAGAAAATCACCGGTGATTTGCGATCGTCGCCGCAGAGGAAGAGAGAGACACAGAGAGAGAGAGAGAAACGGAGCTTTATTCCGTGTTGCTGTGTTGGCCTTATAAATAAAGAACATAAATGTTGGAATTTTTAATTTTTATTATTTATTAATTAATTGTTTAAATTTAAAATTTGGGGAAATTAGAGGGGTGACGTAGCAAGGAAACCAAAGAATGCCACGTGTTGTACACTTGTTATGTAATTACATATTTGGGGCATTTTCCTCTACTTTTTACCTATCATTTTCTTCGAAAATATTCCATTGTATACAAATATTTAAAACTTTATTCATATCATTTTCTAGGCAAGTATTCCCTTTGATGGAGATTTCAATAAATATTAATAGAAAAAATTATCAAAGAAAAAATTACAAATGTCCTAAGATGCTTGTGATCATGCAGGTGGTAGAATTTTCTTTTTTATATTATTTGGATAATTATTAACTAATTTGATAATTTCTTTATGAAAATGAGATATTTGAAATTTAAATTTCAATAATAATTATGAGCGGAAATCAAAATAAAGACAATGATAGAATTAGAAATTAAATTGTGATATACTTTATATAATTAGTGACGCATGCAACATAAATTAAATATTTTTTTTTCAATTACACAAGAATTGATGGATAAGAACAATCTTAATATTATAATGAAAGTAAATCCCAAGGGGACGAAGAGGAATTGGATTCTTGACCTTCTGATTTATTTTTTGGAATGTCTTATTGTAGATCATCGTCACCATGCACAATTAGCTAGCAGTTGGATTTAGAGGTGGATCCCAACACAAGACATTGATATCTAAATTATGAAGTTATTTTATAGTTGGAGAAAGTAGTTAGGAGAATGACAATAAATAGGTTTGGATTTTTATTTTTTAAACTTTAATCATGAATTAATGAGTCAGATTTTCACTTATATTCCACGATCTATCTTCAAAGATCTAATTCCTTTGCTGACAGGACAGGGGGAAAAAAAGAAACACAAATAATAATAATAATAGTAATTAAAACCACAACTTATTTTGAAGGATATTTTAGTCATTTTAGAACATTTAATCTGGCTTTCCACGGAAGACGGAAAAAAATGAAAAGAAAAGGAAAGCCAGGTGTTTCCGTTTACGTGTGTGTTGTCTGCATGAAAGGAACCTTTCGACAATCCAACTCGTGCAGCCACGAGCCCGCCAGCCGGAAACAAGGGCGGCTGCAAACACGGCCGAACCCAGCAAATGCAATAATGGGACAAACATGTGGAGGCCAATTTCTTTGTTTTTTTGCTTTTTCCATTTTGTTTTCATAGCTCGCATATACTTTGACCACGCTTCAATCTAGGCGCGTGTTTTCTAACTTCCCTGGGAATGAGGTCAAACGTGGCGGGTTGGAAAGTTCTAAGAATGGTTTAGTTTTGGAATGGCTAATTCGTGCATTTATTGACAACAATTTGGTAATAATTTGCTTTTATTTGAATCTTGACGATTAATTCGAGTTCACTGTTAGGATGGGAAACAAAAATTGGAAACAGAGGAATCTTCTTAGAGGTTACGCGTATTATAGCTTAAACACATTTTATTTTCTTTACGTCTATACTTGTTATTTTCCTTCTTATTTGGATAACATATGGCTTTTTCATTTTATTTTCTTTACGTCTCCACTTGTTGTTTTCCTTCTTATTTGGATATTAAATATAATTTTTTTATATAATTAATAAAAAAATTCAAATTTTACTCTTTAAGTAGGAAATATTATACCAACTAATAAATCAAATGCTCAGATATAATATATGACTCTTTACTTTAACAAAAAAAATGCTCGAACTAGACAAATAAATAATCTTTATATTTAATATACATGGTTAACAAGTTCTATTAACTATTTACTTCAAAATATTATTTTAGTTTAAAACATTATATTTTTTTCAACAATTAAATACCACCAACAACAAAATTTCTTATTAAAGTTTTTAGTTGATATATTTATTTTTGTAAAAAATTAATAAAAATCAAATAAATAATAAATAATAAAAAATCAATCGAACACAGTCTTGATATCTGTTCTTCAAAAATTCAATATATCTATGTACTTTGGATGACGAGATTTATAATAGTGAAACGAGGTACTAAGGTTAATTTGCTCGTTTCAATTGCGAAATTTCTTTTTTAGATAATTGAAAACAAAATCTTCAATGCTAAAAGTGTACATAAATTTATCCAATGTCATTAGAAAATGACTCTAAAATTTGAATATAATAATTAAAAATAAAAAAAACAATATTTTGATGATATAAAAATGTAATATTTTCTTTCCAATGTATATGCATCTGGATCTCTTCCATAAACCTATATTTTTTTTCAATGATTTATGATATTAAGAGAGTGTAGGCATATATCTTATTTGAAAAAAGAGTGTAACATATATTTCAGAATCATAAAGTACATTATTTGTCCAAAAAATAAAAATAAAAATATATTATAAAATATAAGTCCAAGCCTCAAAGTAATTTTCTTCGTTTTTGGCTATGAATAAAAATTATAAAAAAAAAAAAGAGAAGGCTCAAAGCATGGTTTTGTTTTGTCATTTTGCGCACCGCCTAAACTAGCGAAAAACCGTTCCCTTTCGTGGCGAGTTTCGCCTTCAGTCAGCACCCGCAACGAAGACCGAAGATCTCATTTCTTTTGGAATCGCTCTATTCTCTGACCCAAAAGAGAAACGGACCCAAAGATGCATCGATCATCGAGCAGTTCCCGAGTCGCAGACGAGTTCTTCATCAACTCAACACCATCCCAATCACAGAGTTCGAAGCAACAGAGCTCAGAGACGGTTCCCCTGAACCCGCAACAACTGCCCACATACAACCCCCTCTCGCACGCCGCTAAGAAAGAAAGGTCTCGTACTAGATTAGCCGAGAACGCCGTCCACATCATCCCTCTCGTTCTAATTCTTTGCGCCATCATTCTTTGGTTCTTGTCCAGCCCAGGTTTCCAATATCATCCCTTCGTTTATTTTTTTGGTTAGATTGCGTCCGAAAGTTAATTCATGGTTGCCTAAAATCTGGGTATTTTATAACTTTTTTTCTTTTATTTAGAGTGGCAGCTACTTAGCAGTGCAATTGTTATGTGGGGTGTCTAAGTTGGTAAATTAAATCTGTTTGATTGGTTTCGTTCAGTGAAATAAATAACTTGCATTCATTTTTGTTGAGCAATGAAGAGACATGTTAGATTGAGAGGCAGTTATTGAAATTTACTAGTCATATTTATTATGTTTTCTTGATCAGGCGATGCATAAGAACCGCTCAGCTTTGTGCTTTAAATCCTTTTATTTTTATTTTTTTAAAATCCTTTTATTTGTTTAAAGTTTTTTTAGATTTTTCTTCCCTTTAGATTGATGAGATTTGGTAAGATATACTGATTTTCAGTTGCAGACATTAGGTAGATACTTAAAAGTTAGAAGTAAGGTAATTTAAGTTGGAAAAAAGCAAAATTTAAACTTTAAATGTTATATAAACTAAGATGATCCAATTCATTGCAGAATCAAGGGTTTGAAGATTGATTGCAAGATCAAAGATTCTTTGGTGCATGGACTGACTCGCTTCAAAACTGGAGCTGGAGGACTTTAATCCAACAAAACAACTGGCGTGCGTAATCTGTGATATTATCAAAGAATGGGTGTGATTCACTTTTTTCTTGTCAAAGAGAGTACGAGATGTTCATTTGCTATTGAAAAACCATTTTGATTTTTGAAGAATTTAGGTGATTTCATGCATTTTGTGATATTACACATATATACAAATACAAGATGATAAATTAATGGGTTTAGATGACAGTAGAGGGTTATTTTCTTATGGATGAGTAATGCATTGTCATGTTTGTGAGAGACAAAGTGGTTTTACCATTTGGCTATAATGATAGTAGAAACATCTTTTCAATCATGCTGTTCGTACTCATGCTCTTGTATTCTGATATTAACTTTGACTATTTCCCGGCAAGACTCCATCCTAAAGGCCTACTTACTCTTTGCCTACTTCAGCCTTTTACATCACTGGTGTTAATAAGACTTAAAAGTGATTTCTCTTAATAGATTTAATATCTTGAACCTTGAAGTTGCAAGTATGGTGAACGAGTAGGGGTGCAACATCTTCGAGGTGGGGAACCTGCTTGATGCATGTAATGGCCTTCTTAACTTTTGCTTTGATGTAATTATATAGGTTGCCGCATATTTTCGCTTTCTAATATATGCTTTGTTCTTTTCTTCCATGATTAACTTGGTTGTCCTAGAAGTTATTTTTGGACAATGCACCTCTTTTGAAGGTACAAGGAGACTAGAGACACGTAAACTTTACCCCATTTTATCAAGAAAGCCCTGTAAATTTGCATGATGCATTAAAATATGATGGACAAAACAGCTTTAAAGGACAATGAAGTATAGCCATAAATTCTCTTGCTTCTTGTAGGGTCGGGTTGAAATCCAACATTTTATGTTTTGAGAGGCTCACACTCAAAATTTGTGTGTTCAAGCATCGACCCGAGTCTAACTAATTTAGGTATGACAACATTGTTACGAACAGAACAGACAAGTGGATTATCCCACTGCAAAAGTGATCCCACAAGATTTGCCCGTATGGTTAATGGAAAGACACGGGGCCATCTTTCCTCTCCGTATGCCCTGAGAGCACCTTCAACAGATGCGGGACCAGATTTAATTCCATCTGCTAGCTTTCTTGTCAGGATCACTGCATCCTCTAAAGCACAACAAGCACCTTGTCCAAGATTGGGAGTCATCGGGTGCCAGGCATCCCCGACCAGCACAACTTTACCGGCTGATGCAGGGGGGCTTATATGTGGCCATAGCCAACGGTCAACAAGGGGCGTTTTACTTATCGTCTCATCTGGGGTGAGATCAATCAATTTAAGTAGCTCCGCAGGCCAGTTCTTTATTAGTTCTTTTGCTAGCTTCTTCAGCAAAATTGGATCAGTGATCTTCGGACCTGCTACAAGTCATGTTCTACATCATTAGAGCTAAAAGGTATTTGCAAAAACTTTATGACTGAATCATACTGTAAGTTTCATTCATAAAAAAGAACCTGCTGAGGGGCTGTTATAGCAGATAAACCAGTAAACTTTTGTAGGAGATACAGGAACATATCCAGCACGCAACCCTCTTCCGTATATGTAACTAACTCTTGGTGCAAATGGCTGCCCGTTGGGATAATACCCAAGTCCACGGAGAGCACAATGCCCTGCATACTTCGGCTCAGAGAAACCCATCCATTTGGCTATTGGAGACCGAATTCCATCACAGCCAACAACAATCTATTGAAATGTATTCCATCATTTGATTTCTTGTGACACAGTTCGGAAGCAATGCTGAATTATAGTATTAATCAAGATTCAACCTTGCTGTATATATTAACGAGAATGTTAAAATATTAAAATATAGGTTAATTAACCTTGGCAAGTAATCTAGTCCCATTCGCAAGTTCCAAAAGAGTTTCACCATTTTCACTTGTTTCAATCTTTGCCAACTTGGAAGAAAATTGGACTGCCTCAGGTGGCAGCTGATTGGCAAGCGTCTCCAGAAGTATTCTCCTCTCCACCGCTCGAACTTCTTGGCTGCAGCATCGTGTCATCATTAGTTGATGAAAACAAAGAAACGATTCCATACAATTGAAAGGTAAAGAAGAACAGAAATTGTGATACTAGTTGGATTAAAAACTGCCTCCAAAAACGTGGAAGATTTAGTACGTTTGATCTTCATCTTTGAATTTGAAGGAGCGTAACTCCCTGCCATCTTCTGACTTCACCAGCATCCTGCACAGCTGATGCAATGAATAAGTTCACAATATGATAACTAAGGATGCCTTGAGTCTGAAACTAGTATAGGAAAATTTTGATTTCGTAACGCACGTGTTAACATGACAAGCTTATGAAAGTGAACGTATACCCTTGGATTTCAAGAAATTGGCTCCTGAGACTATCGGCAACACCGATTGCATCCAATACCCGCCACCCATTCTTGAAAAGGGTGAGTGAGGTTCCACCAGTTCTAAGTGACTCTGCTTGCTCAAGCACTAGTGATCCAATTCCTAGCCTGATGATCACTTAACAGGACAACTAATCAGAACAAGTTGTGGAGATTCATTTCTTATTGAACTTGCTAAAACTCAATAGCGCAAATCTGATCATGTGCTATAGTTATCTTACATAAAGAAAAAAAAAATGAAAACATGGATTTTTGCACAACTCATTGCTAAAGACACCACCAAAGGAATCAAAGCAATTTGTAAATAGACAGTCTAATTTAGACTAGAAAGGTAAGCAAGTCATAAAGTTCAGCTAGAAATTTTTTTTTTCTTACCTGCGAAGGGACACTGCGGTGGCTAGACCAGCAATCCCAGCTCCTACGATGACAATATCCTCCTTCTGAGCACCAGCTTCAGCTTTTATAGCTGATGCGCAGACGGGTTTGGTTCTGGGTTGAGCTCGAAACCAAGCATGGCTCTGGAAAAACACCCCCCCTTGAGAATTATACAAAGAAGGCCGTGGCATAGGAGAGTTGAGGCGCAAAGGAGAACAAGTGGCTATTGCCATGGTTCTGCAGTGTTAGGGGCTCAAAGTTTGCGACATTTTGAGACTCGAGAGAACCAGAATTGTAGTACGAAAGACCTAGGAAATGAGTGGCAGAGGTGAAAGGGCTCTTGTTGGTTCATGTTCTGCCAGATTTTACACAGGAAAAGACACTTTTGATAACCACCAACAGACCTGAACCTGGGTCTCGTTCCATTAGGCCTGAGCTTGATCTATGGTTTTAGGCCCATATTGAAGTTGACTTTATGCTCAGCTTGCCCTCAGCGTTAGGCCTTTAGATTTGGTGATAAAAGCCGGCTAAGCAAAATCGATCCAAATCGAATAACCCGATAGAATTGAACTGAATTCGGTAAATTTGATTCGATTAATTATCAATTCATGATTATTTAATTTTCAATACTTTAACATTTTTCATCAATTTTTAATATCCAAATTTTTTCACTGAATCAATAAAAAAATCAAATTTAAATAATATGTATTTAAATTATTATATATTATCTTTAATCATAATTATTTAACCCTCCTATAAAAAAAAAATCGCTTCAAGTCCAAGTAAATTGGAGAGGAGGATTATGCAAATTGAAAAGGACGTCCAAATTGTCAATTTAGTAACAAAAATTGCTTCCATTCAATAACTACGTATTTGAATTTTCACCTTTTAGCTTTCACTTTCCATCTCATTTTGAACATTTTAAATCTCTAATTTTCCATTTTAATTTTTTTTTCAAATAAAAATAATATCAAAATGTATTGTTTACATATACGAGATTCATCTCCCTTGTGATTTTGAATTTAATAGAAATTAATGTTCTTTCTTACTTCTTGATTCAGCATGTATCTTGTTGTAAAGATTTTGCAAATATATTTCTCACCTTGTTTTACACACACAACAATAGTCAAATCATAAATATTTGGCCTTTCAAACAATTGCCGTCCTCACACATTTTATTTATTTATTCAATTTCTTTAGAAAATACTAAATATATTGTATAGTACTTTATTTCACATTATAAGCTATGAACCTTAGTTGTGGCCACGGGACACGTGGTAAATTTTGTTTAAATTTAATCATAAGGGTAGATAAATAAACCTAAATAAATAGTCCAGTACTTATTTTGGCATGTCGTAAATATGGGACTAGACCCGACAGGAAAACACAAGCCAATTCAAGATCCTGCTTGATAATTAAGAATCGGAAAGGCAAAAGCAGACATAGATCCAGGATTGGAGGCGGGGCGATGGCCTCCCCGCACAGGATTAATTGACTGTTCCAATTGCATGTTTGGTTTAATTATTTCTTGTCTCTTCTCATGTTTTTTTTTTATCCTCATTTAGTAAGTAATTGCTTAAAAGAATAGTTATTTTTTAATATTGACTATTCTTAAAAATGGTTAAAACTCATATTTAATTAAATCCAAACGTATTTGCTGTTTTATGATTAGAGAAATAGCTTTCAGATTTAATAAAATTAAAATAACCTTTGTAACAATGAAATATTACAATCTTAAACATATAAATATTTACTTTTCTTTTCATTTTCCCTTCTTCTTTCTCTCTCTTCTCACGTTCTTGCCTTTTTCGTTCTCTCTCTAATTCGCATTTATCATTGGAGATGTTAATGACTCTAACGATGGACGATGATGGTTTCACAATCGAAAATGATTGAAAAGCGTCAATCTAGTGCTTTTTGACAAAATTTAATTGAAAAGTCACCGAATTTAAGATCCACCGCTTGGTTTGATTACAGGAAGCACCGAATCTGGTGCTTCTTAACTAGATCTTCATGGTTAGATCTGGCACTCTACGACTAGATCTAGAAACGGGAAGCACAAATATGATGTCCTAGTGGCTAGATCTAATCACATAGTGTGCCAAATTGGTGTTTCATTACATTAGCCACATTTTTGATTGTTAGGCCATGGAGAAATACAAGGGAAAAAAGGAAAAAAATTTTAAAAAAATTAAAGATTTATTTATAAATTACAAAAATTAATATTTTAAAATATTATTATTTTAATATTTTAATCATAATAATATTTAAATTATAAATAACATATTAATATTTTAAAAATATTAATGTTTACCTTATTAAATTATTAATGAGTATAAATAAAAAATAAAAAATGTAAATAGAGAAAAAATAAAAAATTATATTAATATTTTAATAATAAATTATTAAATCTTAAATTTTTAAAATTTTAATGAAAATGAAAATTAAGTAATTAAAAAAATTTTGCTTATATTTGTCTTTTGGTATAAATTTTACTAAATTATATAAAAGGTATTTTTGTTGTTTCAAAAAATAAATATTATTATAATAAAAAGTTTTAGCTTTTAATTACATATTATAAAAATTAATATTTTAAATTTAGAGATTAATTAAAATTATTAATATTTTATTTATGACAATATTAAATTATAAATAAAATATTAGTATTTAAAAATCTTAATTTATAATAAAATATTAATATTTAACCATATTAATGTTTTAATAATTAATCATTAATATTTTAATTAAATTATAAATTATTAATATTTAAAAGTAAAATAAAAATAAATAATTATATATAATAAAAAATATTTTATTTTTTATTTTTTTATTTTAAACTTATTATTACCAACTAAACACGGTAATAAATCATAATAATTATTTTTATCCTATTCTATTCATTATATCTAATTATGTAATTATTATTTTATTTTATTTTATTTTTATGTAATAATTATTCTATTCTATTTTTGTTTATTTCATAAATCAAACCAAACTTAAATGGCCGAAAGAGTGGATTGAACTATTTTTAATACCTTCCGTCATGCAGATATCACACACATGACAACTCCATAGATCTCCATCTCTCTATTCAGGCAATCGTGGCAATCTGAAACCATGTACAATCGAAAAGCCCGATGACTTTCTTTCCATTTTCCTCAGTAAGACATGTAGACAGCATATTTTAGACTAAGCTCATCTCCACCCACGACCTAATTGCCTAACCCCAAACTACTAATTAATGAGGCGTAAAGTTGATTTCCCATGAAATCAATCTGTTCCCACGTTACCGTTAAAGCCAGCTACGAGCAAATCCCAATTTCACCCCTTACAATGCCTCCCTCACTCCCATGGCTCCCTTCGCTTGCTAGCTCCATGTACATGATTCAACTTGGTAATGACTCCGGAGGAGGTTGAATCCACCTTACCAAAGTGAGGGTTTCCATGAATTTACAGAACATATGTCAAATGCCACATCAACTTGCTCGATGCATGGGTGGTTTTGTCCTTAAAAACAAACTTATCGCAGGCTTTCCAATGTCACCAACAAGCACCAGGAAAAAAACCCTCACCTCAGTTACTGGGTCCCTTGCATATTCAACATGGTCCAACATCGAGTTGTTGTTAGCTTAAAAAATCAAGAGCTACTACTTCTCAGCAACCCAAGCGGGGAGCATATTGGCATTTCCTTATGGAATGGGAAACAAGTGCATAACATTTGATTTGTAACAACATTTATGAGCTGCACATGCAATTGTGTTAGAGCAATTAATGATAACATCTCGACTCCTCTCGTTCATTGCTCGTCTTCACCAGCAAGAACTACTTGAGGCTCCATATTAAAATCTCAACAAACTTGAGCAGTTTTTGTAAGTCCTTTATTTGCGAGAAAAGCCCTCTACATATATAGAAATTCAAACTCTGGGAGCTGCAGCTATAATGATGAATCCTCATCTCAAAAGAAACCACTACATTAATTATAAACTTAACTTATCCTTAGGAAGGGTGGCACTTTCGGTTCATTCGGCCAAATTTTTGTTCGTGCACTACGAATATGATGACAGGGCTCAGATGCCCAGATTTTTGTTCAGCTACGGAGGTTTGAAATTAAAGTAACCCCCATTTAATTACTTAACGAATCATTGAAAGGCTTATATAAAAAAAAATTAAACCTCACTTGTGATAGTTTATAATTCAAACTCCAAATTTGGCAGATTAAAAAAGTTAAGCCAAAAACTGAATTAAATATTACAGTTGTTTATTTGATAACTTTATCTTTGTACAATTTAAATTGCTGACAAGCTTGGAAAAAGTGGAAAAGAAAATTCAATGTGTGTACGGTACATGAATAACACCATGTTGATTCTTGCCTCCACATTAATTGGATATTGGTGGCGGTTTAACGAACAACTAATTGCGTCTTAGAATACAAAACAAAATTCTTCATATGTGAGGCAGCATGCTTTTAAGGAAATTCGGCCAATGTTTTTACAAGGGCTTCCAAAACATAGTAAATGAACCTACCAACCGAGCATTGAGATGTCATGTTGTCCGGTTACGCGCTGTAGGCCGACACTGACATTTGGCCAGGGCCATTACAAGTTACTAAACATATATGCACACCCTTCATTCAACCAAAAAACTTTTGCTTTCGGCCTTGATCCGTTAATGGATTATGTAGTAACTGACAGTTAGTTGAACTGATTTGGTCAGAATTCAATTTAGCAGATTTGTATTGATTTCGCTTTTTGCTTGTCTGAACAGAATCAAGTAGACCAAGAAAATGGAAAAAAAAGACACGAACAATGGATTTCCCTGTGCCACCATTGAACTCAAATTAAGTAACAGAAATGATCAACTGCATGCTTAAGCAATGAGCTTGGGAAAGTTGGCTTTTTTGCCATTGCATGTGCTTCAGAAGGGTATTGCCGTGGAATTTTTTGATGTCTTTACAAGGAAAGAAAAATGGTCTTAAGTGATGCAAGTTTAGATTAGATTTTGTCTGATTACCAAATCTTTTACAGAAGAAGACATCTTCCTTTCCCTTTATGAATTATCCTGGCACATTAGGTGTACCAGCAAACCAGCCTCTACAAAAATTCATTAATCAAGCCAACACTTTTTCTCTTTTTTTTTTTAAATAAACATAAAAAATAAAAAATAACCTCTGTTTGTAATTCATCATACTAAATCGCATGTTCAGACTACAATCATTCAATGACATTTTAGTACTTTAAACTGTTCTCTTTTTTTTCTTTGGGGAGCTTAGCTGTTTTGTGCTGGACATGTTTCTATAAGTACCATAGCAATTAGCGGAGATGTAACCTGTTCTGCTCACAAGCTTCCCAAAGATGGCAAAGCAAACTGATAGCTTTGTTCCCAAATTATCCATTGAAGGTATTCAGACTGTAACTCCCATAAGGATAACGGATCCACGACAGACCCGACAAGTGTTGGGAGGGGAGGTTGTTGATCCAGGGGTTTTCCAGAGGTGTCTGAACATAGTCCAATACTACAGAAAGGAAAAGGAGGAAGATTCCGGCTGGCTAGTTGCCGGGTGGATTAAGGAGACACTTGGGAGAGCTTTGTTGGAGCAACCAATGATTTGCGGACGTCTCCGAAAACGGGAGCAGAATGATGGAGAATTGGAGATCGTGTCCAATGATTGCGGCATCAGACTCATTGAGGCAAGAATGCAGATGAATCTGTCAGAGTTTCTTGATTTGACGCGACGGGAAGAGGCAGAAGCTCAGCTTGTATTCTGGAAGGATGTTGATGAGGAAAACCCGCAGTTCTCCCCACTGTTTTATGTTCAGGTAATATTGTACTGACATTTGCTGCTCATTAGCTAAATTAGAAAAGCTCTTAGGATAAGAAACTTGATTTCAAGCAAAATTACGATAGTTCTTCATGTTTTACAGGTGACCAATTTCCAGTGTGCTGGATACTCAATTGGAATCAGCTGCAGCATTCTTCTGGCAGACCTTTTGTTAGGGACAGAGTTCCTCAAGACATGGGCAGATATTCACAACAACATTGTCAACGAGAATAATGAACGAAAGCTACCCTTATTCTACCTCCCTGGTCTCAAGAACACCACCACCTCCTCCCCCAACATAATCAGCTCAAGTTCAAGCAAAAACTCTGGCAAAACTATGAGCTTCAAGATTAATGCTGAAAGTGGGAGTCTTGAGAGTGACTGGTACAGAAAAGCCGCCTTAGCCTGCCTTGAGGAGGCGGAGAACAATCTCGGAAGTGAAATGGGTGCAAAGTTTTCTTTGTTTGTGTATGAATCGTTTGAAGCCATCAAGGTAGAAAGCTGCTCAAAACATGGGACACCGAAGCCACAGCTGAACCTCAACAAGGACTTCACTTGCGCAAAATGGGATGATTTGGGGGCAAATGAAGTTAGTTTCCGACAAGGGGACAAACCCACTCATGTTTCCTACTGGTTTAGATCGATTTTGGGTGGGGTTGTCGTCGTAATTCCTTCGCTTCAGGAGGATGCAAACAGAGTGAATATCATTGTCACAATTCCTAATGAGAAGTTCTGAAAAGGGGTTATCCCTTGGCTTGATTTGCAAATGACTTTCACTTTGATAATTTTCAAAGCAAGCAAATGATATTTACTTTATATTAGCATGCATCAAATGTAATCCTGCCATAATAACTTTTTAATTATCCATTTATTCTTTTTAAAATCATTGCATGCAAATATTTTGAAGAATTCAGCCCATCAGATTCATTTCGTTTGAATGACTGATTTGTTCAAACAAAGTGGCTTCGCTTATGCCTATATTTTTCTCAGTTCTTTACTTGGAAGTTGGAAATGAATCTGATGAGAAAAGAACTGAGAAAAATTTTCACCTTATGCCTCTATATATTATGTAGAATTGTAGACAAATAGTCAAAGAGTCAAATGCAATTGGGATTTGGGGAAGGGAGCGAATAAGGAAGGTTGCCCTTGTTACTTGCTATACCCTAATATATGTGAACGTGCAGTCCTTCAAAGTTTACTAAAATTGATGAAATAATTACTGTTATAATCAATTTAATTGTCTTAATATTTTTTTCTAAACAAATCCCTTAATTGAAAATTGCTCCAAAACATGAAATATGTATAAGATTTGTGTATACCCTTTCAAATGACAAAACTTAACAAAATATGATTTTCTTTGTATAAAATGATCTCAGTTTAATTTTCTAGTACCAACTTAGAAATTTCAACACATACATTTTTTTTTCAAAAAACATTTTTTTCTTGCTCGTTCCTCTATTTATTTTTTATTATCAAGATTTGAAAACAAATTTTTTTAATCTTATAAATAGCTCAAAAAAATAAAATATAATTGGGTTGGGTTCAAACAATTTTCTTGATAAAAGAGGCCTATCCCTTGCTTAAAATTAGTAAGCCTGTAGCCCAAATATAATGAAAGGACCCAATCCATCTCGACCCATAGCAAATTTTCCCAGTTCGTCTTCGTCTACAGCTTACTTATGGTAGTAAGTGCCCGCATTTTTCAATTTCCATTCTTAATTTGGGTATATATGTAAATCTAACCACTTCCCAACCTAAAATGTAATACGTTCATTGACGTGGCAAGGTCCCATTAAACCAAACAAAGCAAAGAAACATGCTTCTGTCAACAGATGATATCTACCCACATTGTATATGCTTTAGCTGCAGGGAGACAGGAAGGGGTAACATTGGCAGAATTCTTAGCTTCTCCGAAGAGAAAAGAACATGAAAGAGATACGCATATGAAAGAGTTTTCCTTGGGATTTTGCAGGAAGGGGAAGAGACACTTGTTGAAGAATGGAGAGTAGTATCAGTAACAGTAACGATACAATAGCGGTAACGAATCAAAGAAAAGGCTTTGAAGGAATCAGAATGGAGAATCCATTTACTTTGAAAGTGGGTCAAGTATTTACTGGCTTTGGCATTGGCTGTGGTATTGGTATAGGTGTGGGTCGCCCTATAAATCTAGGTACTGCTCATTGTCAGATTCGCTCTTTGCGCATACTTTATTCAATCAGTGTAAAAATCTTGTCTTTCAATTGTGAAGATGAATTGGGGTGGTTTGTTTAGTCCCAAGAATGATGATATTTATTCCAATTGGCTTCCTAAGAAACCATGTATGTATCACTTCTGGTATCACTTTCTTTTCATTTGTTTTATTAAGCATATTGGTTATGTTTTGTTGTGGGAAAATGTGGGTAAGTGGAATGAATAGTAGCTTTCCATTTTGATGTTTACAGGATTTGAAATGACGGGTTAATTGATTTAGTTTGTTAAAGTTTGAACTTTTTTCAGTCGTCAAGAGTGTGGTTTAGCTTAACCATTTGTTATTCTAAGTCCTGATTAAGAACAGCTTCTTTCTGTCATTTTTTTGGAGTTACTAGATCAGCACTATCCTGACTTAGCTTAATAAGCCTCAATCTCTTGAGTGGCTTTTGGTTGTCTAATACTTGGTGGAAATCTGATTGCTTTTCACTCAAGTTAATTGCAAGATGAAAACATTAAGAAATTATTTGAGTTCAATCAAGAATGCAGTGTAATTTCTTGATTTAATCATGTACCAGGTAATTGGTAATGACTTCCCGTTCAAGGTTTGGCTTGGATGATGTTTTTCTACTTCTTTATGCAATATGATGGTGTTTTGCACAATATAATGGGAATTTGGAATATCAAATGAGATTGTAATTCAATAATAAAATCTTAAAGTTGCCTACACTGAACCAATTCTGCCTTGTTTGGGGTGGCCATGTCATCCATTAACAATCATTGACTGTGGAATGTTGATAGGGAGAGCATACTATTAAAGAGTTATTACTGTTTGACATTAAATTTGTTAAATTATAATCCTTTTGCAAACTCTTAGATGCTTTTGTTTTATCCTCTTTATCCTATGCATGCTTCTTTATATTCTTTGATCATATGTCCTGTGAGGCTGTTCTGTGAGTCAAAGCCTTTAGATATCATACTAATTCTGGAATTGCTGTTTAAAGTTATCAATATTATTACATTAAATAATTGTATCTGGAATGAGAAATGAATGGGTTAGGGTAAAACTTTTACAATTGATGAATATCTCTTATGATGAAGTACATTAGATTGTTGTTAGCTGATGTGAGTGTTGCTGCTGTTTCTGATTGTTTGTATATTCTTTCGAGGATATTTTGTTAACTGGTGAAACGTAACATATGCTATATACCAGGTGCTATACCTATGCTCGGTCAAGTTATGAGTGCAACTAGAGGTGCAACTGATGCGTTTTCTGGTGTTAGCAGACATGTCAATGGTGCTGTAAGTCAAATATACAACGTTCTGATTTTTTATGACACCTTTTATTTTTTATTTTGGATGTTTGATATTTCACAATCTGCTTCTTGTATTTTCTCATGTTTCAGTTAAGGAAGTTGGGAGCGAAGAACATAGAAGCAGGCATTGGATGTGGAGTTGGTCTTGGCCATGGTTTTGGTGTTGGTATGCAACATTGTTGAAAAGAAAGTATTATGATATAAATGCACTTATGTTAAGATGTGATATCTTATAAATTCCTTGTGAAGTCTGATTGTTATTGGACATTGCAAAAAGATGCCCAGAGGTCACATTATGTGTGCCTAATATTTTCAAGACTAGAAAAATTACTGATTTTTTCTCTTGATTCCCTTATTAGTTACTTGATTTTATGCTGTGTACAAAAGTGTTATGTGATAAGCCACTGCTGACCCAAAATACAAGACCAGATACTTTATGGTTTGCTTGTTGACTGCTTAGTTTCAGCACTTTCTTATATGATCATAGCAAAATAGCTGATTGCTGTGGTAGGGATTCCAGCAACATGAGACATATGTCTTTTCTAACAACATGAAAATCTGTTCTTGCTTTCCTCTTCTTTTGAAATTCTATGTATCCACGTAAGGAGTAACCCCATCAAACCTGCTGTGCTTCTATCTTTTATACCTTTACTGACATTGATATCTTTATCCTCATGCTGCATAAAAAATAATCTTGTACATTAATGCTCTGTCAATGATATGAACTAAAAATATCATTTTTGACAGCTAAAGTTATTTTCATTACAGGACTTGCTGTGAAGCCGGGGGTGGTGGATCAAATTCAATGTTGTGTTATAGTACGTTTATTTCTTATAGTGTGGTCTGATTTGCCTATTGTGGTTTGCTTTAATTTTATCTTAATTTGTAATCTAAAATTTCTAGGAAGCAACAACAAAATTGATGATGAAATTTGGAATGGCTCCCAAATTGCCCTTCAGTGAAGGTTCTTTTCCTGTATCCTTTCAAAGCAGTTTAACCTCGAGAAATGAACCCTTCATCCAAAGCCCACCTGGAAACGTGAAGCAAATGGTTACAAAGCTACCAGACCCCACATCTCAAGGCTTGCCTGGACCTGCAAATGTGGGCAGAGATTCAGCTTATGAAAAACTTTCGTCAAAATATCCAACTGAGACATCTTATGGAAGTCGAACAGAAAAGGTTCTTAATAATTTTTTGCAAAATCCAGTTTTGAAGGAAGACAAAACGAGCCTAAATGAACTGGTATGCAAAGATACCCTTGTTCTTGTGCATTTCTCTTTGCAATTCATCACTTGAGGATTTTGCTATTTCTTATCCTCATTCCTGCATTGAATCTGAATGTGAAATGTTAATTTTAGAACTTATGGGAGGTCTATGGGGTTAAATTTGTGCAATATGAGGTTAAAAGACCAGCTTGTTTTATACACATAATGGTTGTGAGAGAAACATTATTTCCCTCTAGCAATTGAAGGAGTAGCTGGGAACAGAAAGCTGTGAAAAGAACATGCTTCAACACGCAACAAATAGTTGCAATTGTTCTGATTTTGGTTATCAGTGGTAGCAGTAGGCAGCAGCAATAATGAATTTGAGTTTGGTTGTTTTGTAGGTTGGGCGCTTGCGTTCTGAAAACAACTTGCTTCAACTGGTAATGCTCCCTACTCACTAGTTTTTCCACCTGATCGTAGCCATTTTGTTTTACTGATCTTGTTGCCAAGAAGATTATTGATCATTAAGCGGAAAAACCACATAAAAATTGGAAGAACACAATGGCAATTAGATGTAAAATTTCATGATTGACGTTGCAATGTTTTCGACATACATTTGATTCATACAAGCTCTCATCCACTTCACATTCATCCTCCTTTTATTTAGGATTTTGTTAGATTGTACTGAAACTTCTATTCATTAAGGTGTTGAAACATCAGCGCATCATTGAGGAACTTATGGAGGAGAATGAGAAGCTTCATCAGATACTAATGGAAGACCTGAAAATACCACCAAGCAAGCTCCAAGCCAGTTACTCGAGTAAAATTAAATCTCCATGTTCAGAATGTTTCCATTGCCGAAGAAAACTAAGGAAAAATAGATGATGACAAGAAGTAGGATATGTAGAGTAAAGACCATTCAAGTGCCATACCAAAGTTCTTATTGATAACCTGTCCAACAGGATTTTGAATTCTGCGAGGCTTTCCAACCTGATAGTGCAGAAGTGTTGTTAACTATCATTGATTATGATCCAATGGAAGAGGATACGAAAGTAAATGACATTACACATGATTATACCGAACAGATTGAGAGATGCTGAAACTAATATGCGAAGGAATCTTCCAAGGCAGGTTTTTTCCTCCCTTGATGTGCAAGTTTCTGCAGTTTTGCTAACTGATCATGAAACTATCCATTTTTGTTTATGATCTATACAGGCTTGTCTCTTTTGTTTTTTAAGTATTGCCAATGTGATAAACAGTTACATTCAATGCATGTGATACTGTGCAATTTTGGCTGCATATGAACGAAACTTTGTTTCCTTTGCTCAAGCTTTGCTTAGCTATTCTCCATGAGCATGACTTTGCTTTTAATCAATCTCATCCCAAGCTCAATGAGTCAAGAAGCTGGTTTAAACTTGATCATTTCGCCTAAACGACCAATCCACCAGAGCAATGTTACAAAGTTTAAGAAAACCTCCATGACACCATTGAAACATGCTTTTCCACACAATACTACTTCCAGACCAAGACACTGGACGAGCAGTCGGTCCCAAAAAGGACTCCAAAAGGCTTCAAAGTTGAAACAGCTCATCCTTTTTTCTCTCTTTAAAAAATATGGTAAGAGTAATCCTTTTTGTCAATTTGATCTACCCCGCGCAGGCCCAGAGCAATAAATTATGGGCCCATTCTAATGCTTTGGTGGGCCAAGCTCTGACACTGCTTATAGTCTTTGGTCAATATCAGATGATTAGAGGGCTTAGACTCTAAGCCCAGCAGTTCGCCCCCCCTATGCCTAATCAGAAACCCAGTGTGTCCGTTTTCTTTTTTGTTTTCTAATTATTGTTTTTAACCCAACGTCAAACATTCTTACTAGGTTAATAAGTAGTAAATTTGTGTGGCTCACGTGGAAGATAAACTGGACTAGGTTGGAAGGAGGGCAAGGCTTGGTTTAGGCTTTTATTCTTAGTGCTTGTCATGTCTTCATGGAAGAAAGACAAGACAGAGAAAGAAGATAGACAAGCTGAGATGTTTTTTAGTGCAGTGCTTCTTCCTAGTGTTTACCCATTATTTTTACCACCTCTTTTTCAAAGGTATCCAATGTTGTTTTCTCTTTTTTTTTTATCTTTTCTTAATTAAATTCCTATTATTTGTTTATATAATTTAACCTGTGCATGCCATTCATTTTAACAGGAAAATTTTTCATTAATGTCTCTCAAAAATAAAAAAATTCCTTCCATCAAACTACATAATAACATGTACTTCATGCAAAATTTTGATAAGAAAAAAATATTGATCATTTTTTTACTTTTTGTTTTTTTTTTAGAAATAGTTAAGAAGTTTTATGCAATAAAAAGAAAAAAGAGTTTGACCCTTATTATATATAAGCCCAAACCAATAAAGAAACAATTATGTATGCACTTAGGTAAAGATTTGAAAGAAGTTAGAGACCCAAAGATTTGATCTTAAACTTTATTTTTTTAAAAAAAAAAATCTGATTCTAACTTGCAACTTGATAGTTAATTTCCTTGAACTTGCTCCTGGGGGCAAGCACTAGCACCCCATGTGCACATCACTTTCATTCTCGAATTGATTGTCCTTTGAGGTTTAGGCCCACCACAGCCAATCATGCATCCATGGCATACTCCCTCAAGACTTCTCTCTCTCTCTCTCTCTCCCCCTTATGGTTTTGCACCACTGGAGGAAAAAGGCCCATGCTCTCCTGTTTTAGCACTCATAGGTCAGAGCATATACCAATTTCTCCCACAAACCCAAAGGTGTCTACAAAGGCAAACTCTCTACCCCTTTCCAAAATGTTTAATTACTCTTTCTCTTCCCCCACACAAGTCTAAACTTAACAGCTAGCACCTAACCTTTTCCATGACCATTCACCACCACCAATGTGCACCTCTTCATCTTTCTCCATCTACCCCTCAACCATCCCATTCTCATCTAACTTTTTAGCAAAGAGAGAAGATATTTGGGCTTTAAATGCATGCACAGGAATATGTACTTTCTTATTTTGTGTGTGAGTGTTTGTGCATTGCTTCTTTGAGGCATTTTAAGAAGCACATTAGAATTGTAATGGACTGAGTGAATTCATAATTGATTAGAATATAATCATTTGAACTTTGTGAATCAACACATAGTTTAGTGGCAATCAAATGTTTTTTCCATCTCATCCTCTTAAACTGGCAAGGACATAGTGAAAAAAGTCTCCGTATCTGATGTTTGCTTAAACAATGAAAATAACTTGATTGAATGGCCATAAAATTAACCTGCCATTTCAGTTTGTTTTCCCCTTATTTTCTCCATTTTCTTTAGCAAAAACCAAGATGGATAGTCTAATATTCGATTTTTCTTTTCTTTTATGATAAAGTCTAAGCAAAACAATATCCAGAATCACAAAGAAAAGAAAATAATGAAGACTTATTAGAGTAACACAAAACAAGAATCACAAAGTCTCTCTTTATTTGGCTAAGTCAAAATGCTACAAAAGAGCTGTAACATTCAATGTAAATCTTCAAAAATAAAGGCACCTCGCAAATCACAAATGCAGCTCCAAGAATCAACCAGAGAGAGAATATAACCAAAAAAGAAAAAAGAATACACAGTAAACAACTTGATCTACATAAAATAAACAAAAGAAAAAAGATTAAAAATTTTGGAAAAAATCTGTGTCCTAAACAAAGAGTGCAACTCCTCCGAGCAATGCTAACAAGGACATGCTGTATTCACGTGTGGAAGCAGCAAAGCTTGGCGAAGACGTAACGGAAGGAGGCGTAGCAGTGGAGGGAGAAGGTCCTGATGCTGGTGGACTACCGGCTCCCGGAGGTCCAGGAGGAGAAGCTGCGGAAGGTGAAGGTGGAGAGCTTATTGATGGGCTTGGTGCCATAGGGGTAGATGACGGGCTCGGGGCCATTGGAGTTGATGATGGGCTAGGAGCCATTGGGCTTGTTGGAGTCACGGAAGGAGGACTGGACGTGGCCGCGCGCGGGGGTGAGGAAGTTGGAATCATAGCTGGGGGAGGTGTCATGGTGTGGGGTGCTGGGGTGGATGCTGTAGGGGGAGTACCACCAGTAGAGGGTGTGGTGCTTGAGCTCGGTGGCATTGTTGGTGCTGCTGATGGACTTTGAGCTACTGAACATGAAATCAGGGCCAGCACCAAAGTCAGCGCGAGCATGGCACGTGAATGAGCCATGCTAACATATACGTATGTGCGCGCCTCGAAGCAGAAGGCAAAGAAAGGTGGAGAAGGTTAAGATAGCAGGAGGCTGAGGCCTAAGATGAGTTGTGTGAGGTATGGGAGAAGGAGAGGTACCGAGGATGATATATAAAGGCAAGGAGATTGAAAGTTTGAAGAATCATTTCACGGGATGAGTATACGGATACTTCATCCAACTGGCCACAAGAATCGACGCGTGTCCCAAAGGAATGTGTGTTTTTTGTGGTCGAGCACTGCCTGCTCAGGACACGCCATGCACAGGATCAAGAGGATATTTTCCTTTTCCTGTTATTTTCACAAGATAAGGTTAAATCCAACATACATTTGTTAATTTAAATTCCCTGTTTATTCTAAACTAAGGTCACAAATTGTTTATTCCATGATGTGGAAGCCATCAGGTGGTTTTACTTTTTTAGGAATTTTTATACAGAAAACAGGAGAGCTTAAAGTTAGAATTAATCACGTGACATGGGAACAATTGCTATGATTTCATTTGATAAGAAAAGTCTTCCATCTAAATAGCACAAAGCTTTGATGCTTAAAGCAGTTAGTAAATACACGTCAACAACATGAAATAATGCATTTGATTCTGTACAATTGTCACTCTGCTTTACAGTCCTTAGGCCAAAAACCAAAGTATGAGAACCTGTTCCCTTTTTTTTTCTGGGTTGATATTGACAAAAAAGCAAAGGATAAGTAGTTTCTTGTCCAAGTGCTAAATATAGGTAAATTGGGGCTTAGCTTCCACGCCCACCACAGGATGATGGCGGGGACAAATGACCATAGTGGCATTCATGCTTTGCAGGTATCGTTTTGTTTGTCCCACCAACCCAAAATTTGTGACGGCTGACTTATTCAGGAGAATCACAATGACAAGAGCAGCAAGATATCGAAAAATCATCTAGAGAAAAACCCAAGAATTTGTAGCAGCTAGCAAGAAATTTTGATGTTTTTGTGCTTTTCTTCTTGATCTGATTAGATTCATGCTGAATTGCAAGATGAATTGGGTTTAGTACCTTACATAAAATTGAATGATTCTCTCTATGGGAGTCAAAAAATTTAGATTTGTGATCATAGTTCTTACATCTGCAGTAATAGTACTCATTAAGTGCTCTGCGTACAACTGCACAGATAGAAATTCTTGGAAAAGGTGCAGGTTACGCAGATTTGGCATGTTTTCCATGTTGCTTGTTTGGTCGGTGACAAAATGGATTGCGAGCTGTTAGAAATCGAGCCAAGGTCGTTCTCTGAAACACAGAACATAATGGTGGCCAACAACCGATTTATGTCCAACTTTGGTCAAGATGTTCATGGAAAAAAAAAAAAAACCCATCCTGCTCAGGTTACATTTTGGGCAATTTGTAATCAGAAAATGCATAAAGATATGTAAGTTCAAGGGGTAAACAACATTAAAAACTAGTATTCTTTTCACCGTTTGTGCAGTTCTTAGCAAGGAGTACCTGAGGCTTTTTCTCTTTCAAATTTCAATCCTAATGTAAACCCTTTTTATTGACAAGATTTTCTTCTCCCTCGGTTCCAAACCACACAAGCCATGAGCCCATGTCATGAATAATCAGGATGTTGGCACAGGAAGCACATGGTGGTCCTTCATGATGACCCGGACCCTGGTTCCAGTTTTTCCTCCTTGCTAAGCCTAAATTAATGCAGAACCCGAAGCCAGATGTGCTCCCATGGAGTGGACCTCCAATTCGTTGGCTCATTTCTGGTTGGCTGTATCTTAAATCAAACCTAAGGATCAAAGGCAATAGACATAGTTTGAAGATGTCAGATTAACATTATTACTTTAACAAAGAACACACATAGTTTAACACTAAAGAATCAAATAGTTCTCTTACGTGTGGGCGTGGTGAGAGATCAAGAATTTCTTGAACAGTACGAAAAATTGAAAAGATGGCAGATGTTGTGAGACGAAGGCACAGCATAATTCTAATGGAAATCCGGGTTTTTTTATGTGGTCTTAAACTTGTTGAAAATGAAATATGAGAATTTTTTAAAATTATATGGTTAGAGAGAACATAGAGTTTGTGTGACAACCAGGAAGGAGAAAGGGGTCCTCAATTCCAGCAACTACAATGGCGATTGATGGTAATGTCTGCTTTTGGAGCTATCAAAAAGGACACATTTGTTTGATTACAAATTACGAACGCAAGTGAAGAGGAGCCAGCCATGCCTTTGGAAGCTCATGTGCATGTGCTAACGTGTTAGTCACTATATTTCATCATAAAATTCTTTTTCCCCTTTCTTTTCAAGCAACTTGGGAACAAAAAGAAATTGGAGAAACACTCAGATATGTGATAGTTCCCTCGTTACGTATGAACAATTTAGTACTAAAGACATTTGTCTGAAATGTAAGTTTAGTGTTTGAATCTCATAACCGTAACGACATATCATTAGAATTTGTATCCTGATCCGAACAAAAAGATTTGCAGGAACAAGGAACATGGGGAAAATCTTTCCTGGAACTGGAAAGAACAGAAACCACTCCACTTGGGGACAGATTCAACAGACACACACAAGGGGTAGGGGTAGGTAACAGAGAGTAACCCAAGGGCCATTAGTTGGCTTCATGTAGAGAGCAGGACATCTCCAAAAACATTAATTGCAATTTCAAACGTTAATCAACATCTCTATCAAGGCAATTATATCCCTCAGCACGTAAGGACCCCCCTGGTACAGGAGAAGCCATTTAAATTCATTAAAGCATAACTGAAGGCATCATCTCGACAGACTTGACTTTGAGTTCCCTTCTAATGCTAAATATTGACAAAGAAAACACGAGCATATATGCGTTAAAACAGAAATTCCCTTGAAACTAATAACTAACCCTTGAATTCGAACCGGCAATCCAACATTAATGCTAAAGTAGGCTTAGCAGAAACCTAACAGCATTAAGGCCGCCAAGTTAGATAGCTTTTGATTGAAACAGCTAACTTAAAAACGATCTTCAGCTTCAGAAACAGTCATTAGCACAAGTCAACCTGGTTTTTAAGTTTACTTCTTATTCGACTTAGAGAGGGGCCGGGGCATTGGAAGAACCTCGTTTCTTGGAGAACATTTATCTGACATGAGAGGCTGATGAACCAAATGAACATTCACATATTGTTCATAAATATAAATATTTAAGACAAAAATTCAACAGGTGGCCGGTGGGTAATAGCAAAATTAATGCTGCCAAGTCAGATAGTTTTGAATTGTCAGAGGTTAACGAGAAGAATGAGATCCACCCACCATAATAGTCATTGGCACAACTTAGCCCGGCTGCTCCACTTACTTTTATTAGATCAGTTAAAAGAGGGAGCTAGGACATTGTTTGTAGGAGAATCAACTGAAACAAGAGACAATAAATCAAACTAATGTTACATGTTGCTATCAGTGTCAATATATTACAAAAATCAGACTAGCTGGAGATAAGCTGCAGCCGTTGCCATCAAAATTTAGCAAAATACATATGCTTCATGTCTGTCAACTCAGACAATTATTTTTAGCACTTCTATCTATCTCTAGTATGTGTTCTGAACTTCCTTAATTATTATACCTCCTTCACACCGTACCTGGTTATCACCTTTGATTGCTTAAAAGAGGTTGGGATCCTGTAGCTGCAAGAAAAAGGTGGAGATCAGACAAGTCCAAAATGATACCATGTTGGAAGACTTTTCACACAGGCAAAAGACAGGAATGTGACTTGATTGAAGCAAACATAGAACCTCTAGCATGAAAAGTAAGAATTTTAAACAATAAAAGGTAAACTTTTCCAAAATATTATCTTTCAAAATCGAAATTCCACATATAACACACAAGAATTATCTATAGGAAAGCTTGGAGCCTCACAAATAACACATTGAAAAAGCTTTTCTTTATCATCTACCTGGTAGTCTTGGAAGTCACAAAATATATTTTAATTCCTATCGCTTCCGTTACCATGACTGCTCCAATTTAGTGGACAGCAATTCACCCTCAATATTATTAAAAAGCAAGTCGCTACATTTAATTTCAAAGAAAGTTTTAATACTACTCAGTATGCATCTCGCATGCATGCATCTGTGCAATAAAACTTCTGCCACATTACCTTCAAAAGCTTGCTGTCCATGGCATAATGGAATTGGTTTCTGAGTTTTCTCAGTAATTTCTTCTATGACCAAACGTGATAAAAGAAGTGCTGCAATAAGAGCACCAACCATTAACATTACAAAAACTGCATCCCATCCCTTTGTCGAGAGAAACCCAGTGAGTAGAGGGCCAAGTGCAGCGCCAACTGATCCAGTGCCATCAATTATGGCAGTCACTGTTGCCAATGCCCGAGAATCCCCTCTGAGAGAACTGTGTGTACCAAGGTCTGCAGAAACTGCAGTTGTGATAAGTGCATATGGCCCATTTACAAACAAGCCAGCAATCATCATAAGCAAAATGTTTACGGTACGAGAAATATTTCCATATGTGCGGTATAAGAGCATGGAAGGAATTGCAGCAGACATGAAGCTGGCTGCTGTAGTAGCCCGGGCATTAAGTTTATCAGATATGTATCCAGCAAGGATCCCACCAACAATACCCCCTACATCAAACAAGGTAGAGAGATTTCCAGCAGACTTCACAGATACATACTCCCCACCAATTTCTGCATAACAAAGTATGTAAAGGTCTCAGACTCTGAAAGGTAGCAAGTTCACACAGGTCTAGGCAAACAGGAAATAAATCTCTTCGGATAGATAGTTGATTACTTAAGAACCAACTTTGGTCAAAATTTATGCACATCCAGGTACTGAATCCACAGAAAAAAAAATGAACAATATCTTTACTGCTATCACAAAGCATCTGGATTACAAGCTGAATATTAAGCACAATGTTATGCATCTTTAGTAGAATCCCATGCTCCAGCAACAAATAGGCCTCAGGAAAATAAAATAGAATAGATAAGTGAAATATATACAACCCACTGAGAGACTCAATTGTTAGCTGACAGGACTTCAACTAACTTCATAAGCACAATTTTATACACGATTGATGCATTTTGTATCTCTTATTTATTTCTCTGAAAAAGGAAATCACAACGAAAAGAAACAATTTTAATACAAGTAAAAAAGAAAGAACAGAAAACCAACTTACAATTCACAGGAGTTAGACTTAAGGATGAATGATCAGTAAACTAGCACCCTAGAATGCTTTTGTCCCACAAAAGTCAAAAGACAAACTAAAATCGTTGAACCTGGCATCAATATATGCTACATCAAAGGGTAGAATAACAGAAAAATTAGATCCTATATATATCCATTTATCAATTTTATATCTGTAGATTGACTGGAATAAATTTTGGTTGTTCAATTAGACAAATGCTGACACCAAACCAAATCTCAAAGAAGGAAATTTTATTCGAGCTCATCATGATTCTAGCTTGACTTTCATTCCATTGTAAACCTAGCATAAATTCAATCATTTCAAAAGTTGCAGTCTCTTTTAATCTAGTCACTCAAAGTCTACAATAAAGCACATTCATCAACCAAGATCAGAAGATATTTTAAAAAAATAGATACCTATTAATCTCCGCGTTGCAATTTCCATCTCGTCAATGAAACAATACCCAAAGCTTGGAAACAAGAAAAATACCTGTCTGACTCAGATAAAATGGTAACCAGTATAAAAATGTGTAGGCCACGAGCTTTGAGAAGAGGAGGCATAGTGCAAAAGGAATCACCCCTGGTATCAAACAAGCTTCAAAGAGTCCAACACCTTTCCTGCTCCCTGACCCCTGTTTGAGACTAGAACTTTTTTCTACATCGACTGCATTGCCCTTTTGAACCTGAGCCATCTCATTATGCGGCACGGAACCTAGTTTCGGAGTTGAAGCATTTGCACCAGCAAAACCGATATCCTCCGGATAAGCAGGTAGGAACAAATAAACTAGTACCCCTGCTGAAGCAATTAATGCTCCTGGGACAATAAAAGACCATCCCCAGCCATAGTCCAAAACAGCAGCAGCAAGAAGAGATCCGCTAATATTCCCAACTGAAGTATGCGCATTCCAAACACCCATAATCAAACCCCTCTTCCTTTTCCCAAACCAATTTCCAATTACAGCCACAACTGAAGGCCACCCAGTTGCTTGAAACAACCCAGCAACCATTTGCATCACAAGGTAAAACCCAAAGATATGAACATTCCAAAAGTATCCCATCCCAAACAGCGCCACAAAAATGCCACTCCCAATCATCCCAGTTGTCAAGAACAGCCTAAGATCCAAAGTATCACCTAAATGCCCTGCAACATACATTCCTAAAGAGTAACAAGCCAGAAAAGCAACATCAATTTCACCCAATTTTGATGTACCATCAGTTCCATTAAAAGGATACCAACCCTTGTGTTTCACCCTGTTTCTATCAGAACTCACAAATTCTTCCTTGATGAAGACATTTCCAACAGGCCAAGGCTTCCCCTCAGAAACTTTAATGGGGTCAGGATACAAAACACTCTTAACTATGCTACTAGGTTTCCTAGATGCATGATAACTAGCATATGCTATGAAGGTAATCAACAAAACCATGTATCTATATGATTTTAGGCTCCAATCCTTACCTCTAATACTTCTAATAAGTAAAATCCCAGGTGGGGTTTTCCTCGTTGCATCTGAATTCCTTGACATCTTTAACAATCCCACAAATTTAACCACTCAAAACCGATAGAAAAAGCTAGCCTTTTGTTACCAATCTTTCATAATCATCATAATCATAAAAACCCCATCCTCAAACATCCTTAAAAGGCGAAACATCTTACAAAATGCAACTAACTTGATGGACATAAAAAAACGATACCTTTACCTCACAATAACAAATCCTTTTATAATCTAAAAAGGATAGCTAACCTTGATGCATACTAAAAAACCTTTTTCACTGGTTCTTGCAGAGAGAGAAGGAGAAAAAAGGTTGGTTTTTTTAGGGGAGAAGAGAGACTGGTGTGAGGAAGAGCGAGGTTGGCGGGAGAGGGACAGGGGGGACGAGTTTGTATCAAAACTGGATACACGTGCTACTTTTCTGGAGCTTCAACCGAAAACATTTGTATCCAAGTGCCACATAGGCGATCGAGATAGTGACGGGATAACCGCGGGTCAATCAAGGGAGAGGTTTGTGAAAGGCTACCTGATAGCCACGTTGCTAAACGGGAAGAAACACAGCAGTATTGACCGATGAGCAGCTTATTCCCAAAATCACAAAAAAAAAAACGAGGTATAACTGAATCAGATTTCGTCAGTTTGGGTTTATTTCAATACTACTACATCACAATAGCTTTAGAGTTTGAACCAACCCAAAAATATATAAACATTTTCAATGTTATAAGAGAAAATTTAGATTGATTTTTTTCAGCAAAACTTGATGATTAAATATAGGTGAAAAGAGTTAACTCAAAGTACTTATAATCTTATTTCATCAATAAAGGAAACAAAAATCTAAAAAGAAAAACAACCAAGTTTTTATGAAATAGTAAAAATATATAAGCATTTCACACACACACACACATATATATATAAACCGTTGAAAAAAAGGGTGTAAACAATAAACCGACCCGACCCGTTACAGAACCCTATCTCAAGGCCTTTACCCAAGCCAATTTCTCGAAAACAGATAAGACACCGTCTCCGAACCCAGACTCCGTAGTAACAACATGGCCTCCCAAGTTTTTCCTCAGGTAACCCCATCTCTTGTTCTTTTTCTTTTTTAATTTTGTTTTTGCTTATATTTCTTTAATTTACATTTTCAAGAAAGAATTTACATTTAATTGTTTGATTAGGCACTGCATATGATCCCGATAAACCAAGTACAGTCATTTAATCCAGTAAAGAATTTTGGGTTCTCTGCATTTCTGTCTCGTGGTCCTTCTCCATTGACGACTTCCAAGGTTTCAGTGTCTGGGTTTCATTTGAAAATCCCGGTTGGCTCAAGTTCCAGTTGTTTTGCTCGAAGGGAATTTGTTGTGAGAGCAGAGTCTAATCCTGAAGGTGAAGGTGAAGTTGAAGCTGAAGCAAGTGAAAATGATGTTGAAGAAGCAGAAACGAAAGCAGAAGCTGAAGAGGAAGTTGAAGTAGGAGAGGACGGAGAAGATAAGGTTGAAGAGAAACCCAAGGAGCGAAGAAAACCCCCGGTTAAACTTGGCGATATTATGGGGGTAATTTGCATTCCAAAGTTTTGTTGATAGTTTTATTTATTTATTTCCTTATATTGGAATTGAGAAGAAGAATAAAAGTTTTCGGTTGCAATTTTCTTGTTCCTTTTCAGTTGGTTTAGGAGTTTAGGAAGTTGAATTGTTTACAAAGAGAGAACCTTTTTCCACAATTTGAGGAGTTGGGTTGAGCTTTTCGAGAAAAAGGCTGAACTTTGCTCAGCTGTTTGAAAATTTTTTTTGAAGATGTGTGACTGATAAATGCTCTACTTAATTTGATGACACAAGTGCTGTTTTCTGAGTAGATATTGAATAAAAGGGCAATTGAAGAATCGGAGAAGCGGAGGCCTGTTCCAGATCTTAGGACTGGTGATATTGTAGAGATTAAATTGGTAACTCGTGTTTCTCATTCTTCCTAATGTATCTCTTTTATGCGATTTAGTTGTTTTTCTTATATTTGCTTCATGTGGTTGATGTTCAGGAAGTTCCTGAAAATAGACGCAGGCTGTCTGTATACAAAGGTATAGTCATGTCAAAACAGAATGCTGGTATCCACACTACCATCCGAATTCGGAGAATTATTGCTGGCATAGGAGTTGAGATTGTATTCCCTGTGTAAGTATTTCTTTTATTACTAATGATAACCATTTCCTTCATCTGGGTGGAGCATAGTGGTGGTTAAATTATTCTGCCAAATTAACTAACTAATGTATCATCTTGAATCTAAGAAAGAGAAATTGGAGTAGCCAGGTTTGTACATAATCTTCACGAATTTATGAAACTCAAGAAAATAAATAAAAACATAGAATAATTTGCAAAATTGAAACCTTAATATAATGTGTGCTTATTGATTCCTATCGCAGTCCTAGATTTCTTTTTGATATTAAGATGATTGACCTTCTGTATCATATGTGAAACTTACCTTTGGTTATTTATCCAAAAAAAAAAGAAACTTGCTTTTTTCTTGCTATACATACCATGTCTATCACTATGATGATTTTACCTTATTGTTTTTATCAAGCAAGTTCTCAAGTTACTTTTCTAAAAAGTGAGATTATCATGAGTGCATAACTGACTACTAATCGTGAGGCAACCGAGTTTGACAATACAGTTAAATTTTTTTTCCAACTTACTGGGCTAAAGTCTTAGTTGATCTGTATTATATATAACTTACCACCTATGTACTAGTTAGTATAAGGATCTTCTTCATATGTGTAACTGCTATTGTTTTATCTCCTTCTTGTCAAAGAATTTCTCTGAACTGTTAATTATTTGCGTTTTACATTTTTGTCCATGGTCCATGAAGTCATGCAGTTGTACAAAATCATCAGGCTTCTTGTGATTTCTGTTTCTATGTGGTCATCACTGGGAAACAAGAGAAGTTGAATTTTCTTGAATATATCTTTTACTCAAACGTGAGCATGATATTGTATGAAAGTTAACCAGCAGAAGACCACTGGAAGAAAGTTTGAATTATCACATTTATGTTGCATGGATTGCGTATTATACCAAGCCCATTTGAGAATACAGAAAAACAATATCTGTTCCATTGGTTTTCGACACCATATTGAAATCTGTAATAAGTTGGAACCTGAATTTAGAATAGTTTATTCCCTAGCATAATGTTTCATGTAATTCAGATGAATAAGTCTCCTGAATTTTGATGATGATTATGCCAGATGTACTAAAGACTCCTTTCTGAAATTTGTTAAACATGATTCCCGATTTATGTTTTCTGTATTGTTGTTGCAGTTACTCACCGAACATTAAGGAAATCAAAGTAGTCAAGCATAGGAAGGTTAGGAGGGCGAGGCTGTATTATCTAAGAGAAAAGCTCCCCAGGCTGTCAACTTTCAAATGAAAGACACTGATGCCTTTCCTCTGGTTTTCTTTCCCCCCATATTCCAAGCAGTTTATTAATTGCTTAGATATTGTAAGAGCTGTAATTCTATGAATCTACCCTTTGTCCATTTTGGTGTAAAATTTATTGTAAACATTGATTTGATTCTGGGAAACTACTAAATCCAATTTTCAAGTTATTTACTAATCATTTCAGTCTGTTAATCCCAATCTTCTAGCCTTGAGATATGCTTCTTTCTTTGTTTATCAAAGGAAACAGAAAAATCTCAGTTTTCAGGGTTCCTGGAGCCTTCCTTCAAAGCAATATTTAAATCTACTTTAATTGCAAAAATGCGAGCCCCCCAATCCCAATCTCAAGTTAAGATACTGGGGTTGGGAAGATTTTCAAAATAAAGTGAAAGAAAAGTAAGATTAATTAAGTAATTTGACATGTTAATCGATTAAATAGCATGATTAGTCGAATAAGATTCAATGAAAATTGATTAATGTGAAACAGAGGTTCACACGTTTAATCCATTAATATTTCATGTTAATTGACTAAAGTTAAAATTTAAATCTAAAAATTTGTTTTTGGGATGAGTTAATCGACTGTAACTGAATAAGAATATAAATTTTAATCCGTAACACCTAGTTTTTCCTTTAAAGTGTTGATGCCTTTTCAATGGGTAATTCAAGATATTGGTTAAATAATAACTTATTCAAAAACAAATTTTGTCTCTCTAGACTCATTAAAAAGAACTTGTCTTTAGAAAAAAAAATCTATGAATAACTAAATAAAATAACTTTTCAAAATAAAACAAAATTAGAAAATAATTCTCATCACTCTCAAGAAAATAATAAATTTTTTTTATTAGACTGATAATTCTACTGCTCATTGAAAACTATTTAATAATTTGATTTCATTTTTTGTATAAAACGCAGTTAAATAAAACTTCATTATATCTTGAAACTATTCGATTAAATTGGGTACACCACCATAAATAGGGATAAGAAAATAAGTCTTAAAAAGAGCGTTACGCAGGTGAAGTTATTTGCCATTTAATTTTGTGACTTTTCATACACTCGCATTTAACAAACGTCTTCTATTAAGGCCTGAAGGCATCTACCTTTCTTTCAAGAAAATTGAATATGTTGCTTTAAGGTTTGATATTAATGGGGAAATACAGATTTCTTGTTAGTATTAAACTTGGCTATTAAACTGACAGCAATATTGACTTTATCCAAGCCTACCCAAATTGAAGGTTGGCTTTTCTTTTTTTTATTATTAGTCCAAGCTTTACCCCTCCTAATATATTTTGATGTGGTACGAAAGTTAATTTCTCCATGGCTACAGATAAAGTAATGGGATGTTGTTATCATGCACCCCATGTTCCATTTCTTATACATCATCATGGTTGAGGGATAATTAATTGTTTAATGCACGGCAAGTTTCTTGGAGAAACAGGTTTTCTGTCTAAACAACCACCATTCTCCCATCACCCCTTTACTTTTTCCTCTCACCGACCTAACACGATCCTCATCCGTGGTCATGACCTAATGATGCTTAGTCTTTTAAAAATGTTTTGTCCACAGGGATGCATGTTTGTTGGTTTTTAAAATGGAAATTGTAAAATCAAAATAATTTTTAATATAAATGTTTTTTTTTTCAATGCATGACTTTATTAAAATTATGTATTTTAAAAGTAGTATAATATTTTTTAAAAATATAAATAAATCATTAAATTTTTATTATATCTAATTAAGTTTTTATATTTATATTTTTAGTTACATAAACTTTTATAACTAATATTTAACTAATTGTTATTGTTAAATTGTCCCTATCTTAGGTAATGTTAAGATGACATGATAATATAATTATGTAATATTTTTACCATCTACGATAATATCATGTCAATATAATATAATTAATTAATTCATAATCATAAAAGTTAATTTGATTCAACATAAAAATATATGAATTGATTGAATATAATAGAATAATAAAAGTTTATTTGAATTTATCTAAATAATTCAAAAATATTTTGAAATATTAAATTTTTAAAATTTTAATTTAAATATTTTGACATTAGAGATATAAATGAAAATGAAAAATCAAACAAATGTGACCCTATACATCTTTTCTTTAGAATTTTCCCACGAAACAATCAATCTATCATGGGTTGCAGTTGTGATGTATCAACTTGCACATGCATCAAGATGGTTGGGTGTTTTCCTATTGAAATCATTGACTAGCTAGGATACATGGATGAGGTTGATTGTCAAAAATATGCAAGCAAAGTACTTTCAAATAATTAAGAGGTCCTACCTTTGATCTTCAAAATTCAAATCATCCACTCAAAACTTTTATGTGACATAAAGCCTCACAAAATTATTAAAAATTAAAAATTTTTAAATTTTCTCTATTTTGTTTAAATATAAAATAAAAATCTTAATCTCTTAGATTTTTCTTTAATGGACAAAAAGAAAAATAAAGTAAACAAAAAGACATAAGAGAAAAAGATAAAGTAGCCCCTGTGCCCGTTGGGATTTGGGTTAAAGGGGACAAATCACAGAAAAACTGAAGTCAAAAAAATGGAAAAATCTTTTTAATACGAAAGTGACACGTAAGACGTTTCCTTTTATTGAGTGCCACGTCATAGGATCCCACTTCCAGGCTGTTACTTTAGAACTGGGCTTCACCTTTTATCTATTTGACACGTGTCAAAACGCATTCTACCTTCTCTTTCCGATAGAGCCGCGCTCCGCCTTTGCCATTCCCAGCAACAGACGGTGCACAGAAGCTCCAAGCCATTTTCCTCTCCCATTTAAAACCTTATTTTCTTTTCCCTCTTTTATTTAAGTAAAAAGAAAAAAAAAGGAGAAAATTTAAATCTTATTCGGACCTCAAACTCCGACTTTTGTGGCGACTATTTGGGTGACTCATTTTCCCACGCCAAAGAAAGAAAAAGGAAGAAAGGAACCTCGGATTTAAGACCGAGCCAGTCGCACCACATGTTAGTTCCTGATTCATTTTCTCTTTCTAAATTAGTACGTTTAATTCTAGTGACTAATATTAACTAAAATTTTCTCTCGTGAAGTTTTTTTTTTTCCTTTTATGGCTTTTGAGGGTTATGTTTGTTGATTTATTATTATGTTATTATTATTTTTGCTGTGATCCTTTAGGTCTGTGAAAGATTTTGGTAGTTGCCTTTGATTGATTTTGTTTTTGAGAGAGTAAAGATCTATTGGTGACGGTGGTTGTGGGGCCCAGTCATGACTGCTGGTGACGGTAATCAGTTGATCTCTGTTCATCCCAATGACCTCAAGTTCATTTGTAAGTTTCACCTTTTGTATGTTTCTACTCGCATGCATGCATGTGAATTTTTGATGTAGCTATGTATGAATACATACATGCATGAAAGTGTATGTGGAGTCGGGTTGGATGTATGTGAAAGTTCGTGTTCAATTCCGTGATTATGTGACGAACTTGGGAGGGAAAAAGTGGTGCAAAGGATTGGTGTTGTGTTGAATCTCAGTTGGAGGGATGCAGTGGAGATGATTATTTACGAAGTTTATGGAATTTGAGGATTATGTTTGAATTCTTGACTTCACCAGGCCCTTGATTGGGATTTGGGACCAACCAGAACTTGTATAAATAACAGTCAATGCGAATTTAATTTGTTAATGTTGAGCTTTTGTTTTTAAGAAAATGCAGGGAGAAGAAAAGCAGTTTAGGAATATTATTTAATCGTTTCTTAGTCTTTGTAACAAGTCATCAATGTTTAGTTACCTTCATTCCCGCTTTTGGCAGCTGGTTTCTTTGTAATGCTAAGAATCATCTTCTTAGTTATACGTTTATTCTTGAAAATTTTGTCAAGAAAGTTTTTAGTTGATCATGTGATTCATGTTTTCAGTTGAGCTGGAAAAGCAAAGCTTTTGTGATCTTAAAGTGGTAAACAACACAGAACACCATGTGGCTTTTAAGGTACTGCTGCTGTTACTGTTGCAAATGTGTATGATTATCTTGTTATGTGTATTCCTATCCACTTTGTGATTTTCTATAATTGTTCGATTTTAATGTTCCCAACTTCTTATCATGTTAGGTTAAAACAACTTCACCTAAGAAGTATTTTGTGCGACCAAACACTGGTGTTGTACAGCCTTGGGACTCATGTGTCATCAGAGGTATTTCTTTTATGATGATCTTTCCAAAAACAATTTCATTCTTGAAAAGTAAGTTCATGATAGAATTTGAAACACAGTTATTTTTGGGTCTAAGAACTGTTCTAGCTTTGCGTTTTAAGATCATTAAGTCGCTTAGCTTGCTTTCCACCATTACTTTTCTCTGTTAGTTAATTGAGATTTTCATATGTTTGATACTGATTTCATTGACGTGCTTGAATAACAGTCACCCTCCAAGCCCAACGGGAATATCCTCCAGATATGCAATGCAAAGACAAATTTCTGCTACAGAGCACTCTAGTGCCTGCACATTCTGACGTGGATGACCTACCAGCAGATACTGTAAGAATGCTGACATGGAGTATAATGTTTCCATTTGTCTACCTTTATGATATTGTCTAAAAACAAACTTGATTTTTGGGCTGTGATCTTCATCTTTGCATCCAGTTCAATAAGGAAAGTGGTAAGGAGATCGAGGAGTGCAAGCTTAAAGTTTTCTATATGTCTCCTTCTTCAGCTCAAGGGAATTCAGAAGATGAAGGATTAAAGAGCTCCTCACAGCAAAGCCCTGATTCAAACTCTGTGAGTCTAATTGGTGATCTGCTTCTTTTTTTTTTTTGTTTGAGGAGGGGGAGGGTTGTGTATTTTGTTTTATTCTATGGAATATTTACGTTTTCAAATTCTTAACCTCACAACACATTGACACATGCACCTTTGTGGTTTTGAGTAAAGTTTCAATTGATACAGTTGATCATCCATTTGGAATAGGTGTTGAAATCAGTACTGATGTGGGCAACTGAAAACTTTCCTCCTAATCTCTTTGTTTGCAATGCTTTTGTTATATCACTTAAGTTCAAAGTCCAAAGTATTGCTGGTTTGTCTGTATAATATTGTAATTTCTAGTATTCTGATGCTGTATGATGTTACTTTAGTTTTGTTGTATAAACTATCACCCTTCTGGCCTGTGACCAGAGGGAAAAAAAATGCATGCATTAAACTTTTGATCATTTATCTGGTATTTGCTAATGGATGTTTACAGTTTGAATGAAGTAGGCATGTCAATATGCAAAATAATGGTCAAATGCATTTGTTTGCCAAGCTGCACATACTCATTGCCTGATTTATATGAGCACATGATTCAAACGTTCCTGTCTGATTTGCATGAGCGCAGATGACTTGAGTTCCTTGTAGCCATTTCTTGTCTATGACCTGATTATTATGGGAGTAAGGACCTTCCTTTTTTTAAAAAAAATAAAATTAAGTTAGTGCAAATCATCATGGTTTGTTATCTTACATTTGCAGCACATCATTGTTATATGCTTGCTGCTTGGCCTTTTATTTAATTATATTTTCTGGTGAAACTTAGTAAAATGCAAAGCCAGTCCGATGTCTATGTCTTTATATTTTACATGTCCCTTCTGTATTCAATCAGGCTGTGCAGCATCTGAAGGATGAAAGAGATGCAGCAGTTCGGCAAACACTGCAGCTGCAACAGGAACTGGTATGTTTTTACTTCAGATTTTTTGATCTTAGTTTTCTTCACAAGTTGACACCTGCTCCACTAAACTCAAAAACAGAAATGCGCACTCACACACAAACGTACAGAAAGAAGAAGAAAACAAAGGAAAACCAGGCTTTTCTAATTTCGAATTTCAGCATTTTGCAACATACATTGAGAATTTTGACGATTGACAGAAGCAATATAAAGGGACATAACATGAACTTGTAATGTAAGTGGTGTCCAATTTCCACCTGGGTCAAATATGGTATTCACTGTTTTTTTCAATTAGAGCTAGAACTGAATGGTGAAACTTTTAATTTGCCAATCCGAACCATTAAAAAGTTATTATCCATACAAGAGCTGTAATTGACCTGTAAACTTTTGATTGCCCAAACTGAGCAAGCAGATTGTCATTACCCTGGGAAAGAAGGGCAGAGGCACTCCTTGATTATAATTTCATTTTTTGTATGTATACATGTTTATGTTCTTTCTGAGGTACAGGCCTACAACTCCGAACAGACATGACCAATACGTAAACAATCTTGTTTTCCTCGAACAGGATTTTCTGAAGAGACGAAGACAACGGAGAAATGACTCTGGCTTCTCCATCACATTCGCAGCCTTTGTGGCACTGATAGGGGTGATGGTTGGCCTTCTGTTGAATCTTTCCTTGTCTTCACCACCACCGATGGAATGAATAGATGCCCTTTTACAAGTGTGGAAACCAGTAATTTTGTCCACTTCATTGTATAATGCCGAATGTTTCTGTTGGATGGAGAGTTTGACCTTCTAGCCATATTCTGTTGATCAGCTGGTTTTTGTGAATGTGTTTTCCATTCAATTGATAAGTTGATATGTTACTCTTATTAGTGCAACACTAAGTAAATAGTTCTAATAGAAGTTTACTGAGTTCAATTTCTTGACAATTGAACCTTTTTTGAGTTTTGATATTATTTTTAAGAAAAAAAAAAAGCATAATTGCTTAGATTGATGCGAATTGGAATCATAAACCATCCACTATTTAATTTGTTGATGCTTGATATATATATATATATAAAATCATACTTAACACTTTACTTCCAACAATTATATTTTTTGAAATACTTTAAACGATCATTGATTAAGGTTATTGTATATAGATTATCGTTTAGAAGTTTAATGGTAAAAGTTTAAAAATTTTCAAAATAAATAAATATATGTGGGTAAAAGTTTAAAATTGTTTAAAATAAATATTTATAAAATTATGAGTATTTGTCTTTTAGAGTTTTTGATTTTTAAATTTATTTACCATTGAAGTGATAATATTTTATGCATTGATAGTGTTTAAAATTCATATATTATAAATTTATATGAATAAAGTTTATAATTGATGCATTAATACAAATAAAATATATTTTGATATATTGCCAGAGTATAATATCATTTAATTATGTAATATCATTTCATAAATATGTAAAAATAAATATTTTTAAAATTATATTACATAAATATTTTTAAATAAATCATTTTACATTGTCCATCGTCCAATGAACGGAAAAATAAATAAATATTTGGGGAGAGGACAAAGGTGTAAATTCAACCTTACACACGTTCAGGATCAGATGAACACATTGGCGGGAAAGCTCGCACGTGCTGAAATCTTAAAATCCCCATCCCGTGCCTGATTCCCGCCTATCTCAGTACCGTCCCAAACTTTTCTGTAAAATTTCCTCCATTTTCAAACCCTAAAATTTCTGTCCTTCCCCCCAGCTTGTCTCCCATCCATAATCGTCATGAAAAGTGACTCGGAACAGCTCACTGAGTCACTAATCCTCCCGGCCAGCAAGTCGCAAAAGGCCTGGCATATTTTTTCTCTTCTAGTCTTCATCGGCAAGCCCACCCCTCTACGGGAACTCGCTTCTCAGTGCACTTTGTTCCCGGCAAGCCCTGCTCTCATTTCCTCCCTCTGTTCCATTCCAAACTCTCCCATCACTCTCTCAAACAAGTATTTCGTCGCTATCTCTTCAACAGGCCTTTCTTTTTTGGCCTCTTACTTAGCCCGAAATTTCACCGTAGCTGAAGCTTTTACGTCGTCGCCGATTCGATTCGGTGGTTTCCAGAAGATATGGCTTGGCAAGAGGAAGCGGGACGGTAATTCCAACAAGAAACATGCTTTTTAGTTTTTCCTTTTTTAGTGTAATTGCTTGTTTATGTTTTTGTTTGACCTTTGAGTGATTTTTCAGCGGTGGATTATGCAGAGGATAAGAAGGAGAGAGAGTTGGCTCTGTCGTTGAAAAGAATTCGAGGTTATTGTACTAAGGTATATGTTGAACTAATTATACACAATAGATCTGTAGGGAAACTCCATGGAATTGCTATGTAGTACATTTGGTAGCTCAATTTGGCTGTATTTTTACTGTATAATGGTGATGATGAGTGTAGATCTTGGAAATGCCATCAAGTAAATCTGTTTTCATTAATTGTCCTTTCAAAGTTATAGTATTCAAAAACTTATTAAGCAAAAAATTTCAGGTAGATGACCATCTAAGTGATGATATCAGCAGACTTGTAGAATTGAGTAATCCGTTGTTCTTGGTAAATAACATTGTGCTCAACCCCTGCTTTCTACCTGAAACTAGTGCTAGACAATTAAGTTGTAAAGTGGACGGTATTGATAATGTGGACACTGAAGTGAGTGTGGAAGACATCATGCAGAGAAATGTCAGCATAGAATTAGCAGCTAGTGAGCCTGAACCAGAATCAACAGTTCCAACTGCAAAACCAGATCATGAGTTAGAAGTTAAAGCAGTTAAAATTCCTCCTGTATATTCCACAGAATGTGATAAACAGAGCAATATATCTGTAGTGGTGGGTGGAAAATTTAATGTGGATTGTACCACAACAAATTTTAGAATTGCAGACAATGAAGTGATTCCTGGGGACAGTAAGAAAGAAGAGAAACTTGATTTGGTTAGTCAAAGCCAAGGCGCAATAGATCTTTCCTCTTCATTTAACATTGACCTTAACGAGGTACCACCTGAAAGGGATTTGGAAAGCAATGATAAGGATATCTGCACTCATAAGATGCCATCTCTAGCTGGGGAACATCCCATTGTACCAGCAGATGTCAGTGTTATCCATTCTGTTGCCAAAATTTCTGTTTCCAAGGAGCAGCTGGCAGAGCCTTCTGTGAAGGCAAAGACTAATCAGAGGGATATGGTGGCTCCAGTAATGCAAACCGCCAGCAGGTCTTTGGGGCGTACCAAGGTTGTTCATACTTACAAAAGGAAGCTGCATGGTGAAAGAGATCATCTATCAGTTCGTGCTGCACAGAAATCAAATCAGAACCATAAGGACATATATGTTAAAGAAAGAAGGGGAAACTCTACCTCTATTTCTTCTCAGGTAAGTTTATTTCATTTTGTAGTTTTGCTGTCTGATGTGGGAAGTAGGGTGCTCTATTTTTTTTTTTTTTGTTTAAAGTGGGAATGTATTCAATCTGCCTGGATTTGGCTTTTGTGTTATTTGAACTATAACTTAAAAACTATGTATGCTTGCTTCAGGACCAGTCAAAGCCAAAAGTACTGCCAGATTTTGAATCTTATATCGTAGAAGAGGAAGAAGGTTCAGGTACCATAGTGTTAATTATTGCTTCTTTGCTTGTACTTCACTCCTGATCTGTTTATCACTATGACCATTTATTGATTGGCTAAGGTGAAAACTCTAATTGGCAGGTGGTTATGGCACAGTATACAGGGCGCGAAGGAAGAATGATGGAACATTAGTTGCCATTAAATGTAAGAGGCAAATTTATATAACAAGCTGTTGCATAGCTGTGCTGCAATGAGACCTGTATTGTATTAAATTTCTGGTGCATTCCCTTGATACCATAATGCTTATGTATTTCATTGCAGGTCCTCATGCTAATGCTCATAAGCACTATGTTTACAATGAGCTGAAAATGCTGGAGCGTTTTGGGTAAGCATTTCAGAAAAAATTCATTTCATGTAAAGAAAATTTCCATTTTTTTTTAAGTTGTTATTAAGCTCTTCTTTTTCCTCCCCTCAATCTTTTCTTTTTTCTCCAATTTCAGTGGTAGAAACTTTGTAATAAGATATGAAGGATGCTTTAAGAGTGCAAATTCTGATTCCTTTGTTCTAGAGTATGTTGAGCACGACAGGCCTGAGGTAATTATTAGAATTTTAACATTTATATTTTGCTTGTTCTTCTGCTTGATCGTGACTTTGTTTCATTGTGCAGGTCTTGAAAAAAGAAATTGATGTTTTTCAGTTACAGTGGTATGCTTATTGCTTGTTCAAAGCTCTTACAAATCTTCATAAACAGGTAGGTGAATTTCTAGATTTGATGCAGCTATTCTACAAAATTACATGTTCTTAATCAATCTTTATACATCTGCAGGGAATAGTTCACAGAGATGTTAAGCCAGGAAACTTTCTTTTCTCTCGTAAGACCAACAAAGGTTATCTTATTGACTTCAATCTTGCCATGGTACGCAGCCCTAGGTCACCTTACATCATTCTACAATTGGACATTTTAGGTTTCCTTTTCCAATATTTTCATGCTCTAATCTAAGGAGTTATAGTTTTGTTCTTTCTCTTGTTTTGACAGGATCTGCATCAAAAGCACAGGAGTATGGGTAAGTTCCTTTTCTGGAGCTTGTAATTAGGTATCCTGGTACTGTTTTCAAAAAAAAAAAAATCCCCAGTGTTGTTGTACTTTGGGCAATGAAGAGGATCACCTAAAGGTTTTTGTTCTCCTGTCTAATACTTCCTCTAATAAAGATTCAGGAAAGTTTTACTCTGGCTGTTAACTATCTACTACAGCCCTCCTTATCATCCATATAGCTGACCCTACATTGAAGTCAAATGCTTAGTTTGCTGTTTGTTCCATTCCAGTTAAATAGTATTCCTTTCCTTTCAATAGTAATTTTTTGCCTTCAAAGTTTCCTGATCTTACTACCTCCTGATTATTAATTTATAATTGATGTGGCATTGTTATCCATTTCACAGACAAATCAAAGTTGGGATATGATGTAAGTTTTAATCGTAATATTGTTCCTACCAAGGCCATTCATCCTGCAAATAGCAGCAAGATTTTAAATATTAAATTATTGGAGGGGATCAATATAAAGGCAACAAAAGACTCCAGGTTAACTTTAGAGCCTAAGAACATGAAGAAGACAGCAGGACAAAGAAAGGCTCGTAATGACTTGAGTAGTTGGAATAAAATCAATAGTCAGGGTGCAGATGGCTCTGGCATCACCTCAGCAAAGGATTTAAGTGCAAGGACTCCTTCAGCAGAAAGGCTCAGAGAACCTTTGCCATGCCAAGGTAGGAAGGAGCTCATCAGCCTGTTGCATGAAGCAATGCAGAGTCCAAACCATGGAGTGTCACATGTTCCTGCTCCCATGAGAAAGCGAGTTGCTGCTTCTCCAGGAAAAATGGATAGACAGGTTCTTCATCTTACTCCAATGCCTTTGAACTCAAATAGCTTTGCTATTGCTGGAGTTGGCTTAGCCAAGAACAAAGGTAAGTGCTCTTCCTGCTAGAATTTTTGCAATTTTGGTTTCCAAGAACAATTTTCCTTAGTAAATTCATTAAAACTTATTCACTTGCAGGGGATGGGAAGTATAAAAGAGAAGGTCCTTGTGCTGGGACAAAAGGCTTCCGAGCTCCGGAGGTAATGAATGTTAAACTTTAGTTTAGGTTTTAATTTAATCCCAGAAAAAAAACTTGTAGGGTTAGCTATCATGGAGTTTCCTGCTGGTGGCCTTAGAGGTTGAATTCATAAAGTGAAAAACTTGTCCAAAAGAAAAATGTTAAATAGCAAATGCCAAATTTTGGGCATTTGACCAACGTAAGAAAAAATGATTTCTGGTATTAAAAGAACTGAAAGATATTGCAAACTGAACTTTTTGCAACTTCAGACCCTGATTGATGCTCCCTCAATAATTGATATTGTTTTTCCATAGAATGGAGCCTCAAGTTGAGTGGTTTGTGCAGGTCTTATTCAGATCTCAACATCAAGGTCCAAAGATTGATATCTGGTCTGCTGGGGTCACTCTACTCTACCTAATGATAGGGAAATCACCCTTTTTTGGTGATCCTGAACAGTAAGAATTCTTTCTTTAATCCTTATTGCTTGATCCAGTTTTGCTTTATGCCTCATGTTGCCAACATCATTGGCACTTTCAGGAACATAAAGGATATCGCAAAGCTGAGAGGTAGTGAAGATCTGTGGGAAGTTGCCAAGTTACATAATCGTGAACCCTCATTCCCTGAGGTATAAATATAATGAATGATCTGTAACTATAATCTATTCAAAAACTAAGTAGTGATGTCTTGTATTGAAGAGTATGATTTTCTTGCAGGACCTCTATAGTAAGCAGTCATTGGCATCTGTGAACCTACGGGAATGGTGTCAAATTAATACAAAGAGGCGAGACTTCCTCCAGGAGATACCAAGCTCACTTTACGATCTCGTGGACAAATGCTTGACAGTGAACCCAAGATCAAGGATTACAGCAGAGGATGCTCTGAAGCATGAATTCTTCGCTTCAATACATGAAAACCTGAGGAAGCATAGGGCAATCAAGCAGGGACTCAGCTTGGAATCTGGGACTAACAGATCCATTAAGGCTTCTCTTGAAAAAGCTTGATCAACTGTGAGAGCATACTCCACTTTTTGAAGGTAAAAGGCAGGCTGGAATCATTTTCTGCAGTTCTTAATTCTGTAAATGTAGTCAAATCTTCAACCCCTGCAAAATTTCCTCTTAACGTTACATGTTCAAATTTTTTGTAACTGTATCCGTTACCCGAAATAGAAAAATGCAAATCCAATAGTAGTTATATATGGTTCATCCACGACAAATTGGTCGAGGGGCATACCGAAAGAAAAAGATCACAGTGAAAGGTCTATGTTTGACCAGAGAGTTCATTGCTTGACAGAGAAAACTCCTTAAAATGCTTGAACTTATTCCTTGGGTCAAATGAGAACTTTCTGGTACGCAAGGTATCAAGTTCTCAAGTAATTTACTTCGCCCAAAGTTTCAGTCATTCCATATCAGCTGGCCAATTTTGATGAATGATTCTCGTTTTTGGAATGACATTTTGGGACGAGCATATTATTTAAATTGAATTCAATAATTTATTGAGTTCAATTTAATTTTTTTATTTGAACAGATGATTTATTTGATTATTTTGATTAATATTTATATTCAAAATTTATATCAAATTGATTAAAATATTGATTTTTTAAAAAATTAATTACTTTAATTTTTAAATGTTTAAAATCAAACTGATCGAATCCACTCAATATTTCTCTCTAAATAAATTTTAAAAGGATAACATTTTAACTCATTTTCGCCGTACTTTAAAAAAAACAAAGAAAATTAGTTAAACACTTTAATTATGGTTTTAATTACTGAATTAATGAAGTTGGGAATTATTGGAGTATAAGTGACGTGGCAATATTTTATTGGCTCACGTGACGCAGCGGCAGCGGAAGATTTTTTGCTTCGTGGCGAAGCGATGTTAGCAATGAAGAGTTTTTAGATCTCTTTGCTTGTCGTTAGGAAGCTTTTAGTCAACCTCTGAACACCGCGAGTTTTCCAGAGCGTTTGCGTTTTTTTCCATTTACCCAATTGCCCCTCACGTTTCGGATAATTTCAATATTTGCCATAATTAAAACTCTTGCTTATCTTAACTTTCCTTCAAATCTTTTTTTAAGGAGATTTTCTAGTAATTAGTCCTAAGACTAAATTCGATTCTTCTTCAACCAAATAACTCGATTACGTAGGTGGGAGACATTCTGAAATTAAAAAGAAAAGGAAGGGCTTTTTCGTAACTTAACTATCTAGAAATTTCGAAGAAATTTTCTGACACTGGCCATATAAATACCACGATCCATATCGTAATCAAAACAAACACAATTCGACAGACTTTTCTTTCATTTTATCTGTGAAATTTCTTGCGATTTCTCTCGTTTTCTCGCTCAACAAACAATGGACGCGTTCTCTTCGTTCTTCGATTCTCGATCGAGAAGCAACTGGAGTTACGATACTCTCAAGAATTTCCGTCAGATCTCTCCTGTCGTTCAAACTCATCTCAAACGGGTAATTTTCCCTCAAATTACGATTTTATGAAGGAAAATTTACTTAAATTTTTAAATTTCGATGTACTTATATTGTTGCGAATTCTCAATTTTTTATTAAAAAAAATTCCCTAATTTTTACTTAGGGTTTTGCACATTTTTTCTTGAGTTAATCTCTTGGATTGAACTCTTTCTTCGGTTCGGAGACTTACTGTTCTCATCTTTATGTGATTCTAATGCTTATTATGATTTTATCTTTGATTTTAGGACAAATTTATCTTTTTAACTATTCTTTAATCCGTATTTTGTTTTCTTGATTATCTGAATTTAGCGTTTTTAATTTGCAGGTTTATCTGACCCTATGTTGTGCGCTGATTGCGTCCGCTGTTGGGGCTTATCTTCATCTCCTTTGGAACATAGGGGGTTATCTCACAACATTTGCAGGCTTAGGAACCATTATTTGGCTACTCTCTACCCCTCCTTATCAAGAGGTAATAGCCCTTCTTGATTTGTCTTAACGATTTTTTTTTTTTTTGCAATTTTAGAACTCATTTTTTTTGTTTGTTATTGTAAATTATGCAGCAAAAGAGGGTTTCTCTTCTGATGACATCGGCGGCGTTTGAAGGGGCTTCGATTGGTCCTCTGATTGACTTGGCCATTCAGATTGACCCAAGGTATACGTCCAATAACTATGACATGGGTAATTTGTGTATTTCTAATTACATATTAAATGTGGTGAAGATACTTAAATTTTGAATCTAAGTTGAGAATTATATTTATTTTTTGTCGCCTTTTGAGGGTAATATTATGCTTACCTAATTGAAATAAGACAATTGCAAATCCCTCAACTCTTTCCAAGGTTATGGGCCTTCTCATTGTGGTGGATGGTTATGCTTAATTGCTATTTCCTTTTACCATTATCTAGACCCTTGAATCTCGTTTGGGTATGTGACTTTGTATGTGTGTTCTTCCTTTCCACTTGATCATAATAAAGGCAAAAGAATGGCTTTAACTAATGATGCTTTTCTCCATTTTGACAGTGTTTTGATAGCTGCATTTGTGGGAACAGCTTTGGCCTTTGCATGTTTTTCAGGAGCCGCTATGCTAGCAAGGCGCAGAGAGTACCTTTACCTTGGTGGCTTGCTTTCATCTGGTGTGTCTATACTTCTCTGGTTACATTTTGCTGCCTCTATCTTTGGTGGTTCCACAGCCCTCTTTATGATTGAGGTGAGTGAATTATTAATTTGGAACTCTTTCTGTTCTGGTGGTTCTTGAAATGCTATTAGGGACTGACACTCCTCTTTATCATTGTTCTCCCAGATATACTTTGGGCTTTTGGTGTTTGTGGGCTACATGGTTGTGGACACACAGGACATAATTGAGAAGGCACACTTGGGTGACCTGGACTATGTGAAGCATGCCCTGACCCTTTTCACTGATTTTGTTGCTGTATTTGTCCGCATTCTGATAATCATGGTGAGTCAAGCTAGAATACATGATAAAACTTTATTTTAATTTTTATAATAACTGACTTGGTTTATATTACCTGACTATTTGTACTAACATAAAACAAACTTGTATTTCAGTTGAAAAATTCAGCTGAGAAGGGTGAGAAGAAGAAGAAGAAGAGGAGTGACTAAATCTTTAAACAGTAGCTGGGAAAGGTTGCTTACTGTCTTGCAAAGATGAAGTCAGTTGGATACAAGGAGTTTTCTTGCGTTTCGTACTGAAGTATCATGTTAATATAATGTCAAAAAAAAGGGCCGTACTGTTTCTGTTTCTGCTGATGGCTTTTGTTTAGAAACGATTGTCAAAGAATGACATGCTAATATTTGCATTTTCTCAAGGTTGCAATTCATTTATTTCCCTCACTACATATGCTAGAAATTAAACGTGATATTCAAACTGCTTGATCTGGTAATTTTATTTGAATAATTAATTTGATGCAAGCCTGTATGACACAGCGATCCCTGCTTCCAAATTTTCCCGAAACACCCTTCCCCCTGTTTACTCTCTATGTGTGTCGGGGTTGTGCCCACCCAGAGTCAGTGAGCACTTTTCAGTTTAATGCGGCTTATTATGACCTCAATATCGGCCCAGACCTCGTCGCAGGGTATCTATCGTGGCTCTAGAGGGTTCTGGCATCTCTCCGGTTTCTGTGGATAGCTCGTTGTTGCAGAGTCAATCGAAAGCTGAGTATGACTAGCTTTCTTGCTTTGCTTACGACGTTCAGTGCTGGGTTTTTCAATCTGGAACTAACAAGTTGCATGAAACAGATTTTCCCTTTAATTTCTAGTTGTTGGGCTGTTAAAGTCTTGTCTAAAACAAAGCGATGTTAAACAATTTCTTTATCCCTTGGCAAACTAAGGATGCACGCCATGGAGCTCAACAAATTCTAGGTAGAAATCAAAGGCAAATAGTATGTATGTATGTATGGTAACGAGCAATTGACTCAAAAATTGAGTTCTACCTGCATGATATATCATGCCTTCTAATGGTAAAACCAGAGCAATTATTCCCATAATAGTTAATTCATATTCTGCAACATGCAGTACGACTGAGATGAGAGTAGAAAGGATATTTAGCCAAAGTCTCATGTTTGTTGGATCATCTCTATCCTGACTTATGATATCGACGACAGGAAGACTCACTCTTTTCCAGGCATCCCTTCATTCCTTCCTAGGAGAGCCTCTTCCTATTCTTGTTGTTTTT